TCAGGGGACCAAACCCAGAATCTCACATATGCAAGGTAAGTACTATATCACTGAGTCACAGGCCCCTGATTTCTTAGTTTTTTCCCCCCCTCACCAAATTACAGAAAGTTCCTATTCCATCTCCTTTTCTTTTTCTTTCGGTGTTTGTGCCAATCACTGTTGTGCACAGGACTACTTCCCTCTGTTCAAGTGCCCCAAGGTGATCAGGGACCAAGTGGTTGCCCAGGCCTCCCGCTTAGTTCAAACCCTGTGCTCAGCCCTTTACACCGTATCCCTGCCCCTCCCCTTCCCTCATTTCTCTTTCCTTCCTTCCCTTAGGACCTCCAAGATAGTTTCTATCCACCAACTTCTCAAGGTTTCTTTCTTCTGGGATAGAATTGCTAACCCATTTTGCTGGGTTTGCCTTCTTCCCACTTTGTTACAGGCCGTGAGATTTAGAGGGCCTATCAGTACCCTTCATTCATGCTACAAAACAGGGTTCACAACTGTGCTTAGGGCTCTCTCCTGAGGACTGACTCAAGTGCTGTCCTGGGAGAATGGGGACAGTTAGCAGCTTACTAACTGGACGGCGGATGGCAAGTTGAGCGAGCGACACTGCCATCTGGTGGTCTCTAGGAGCGTGGCCCGCTGTGAGTCTTCCCTGAAGACCTGGGGTTCCAGCACTTGCTTCCTGTGTTAGTGCCGCAGGCTGAGGAGGTGAAGCATTCCTCCCTGAAATGGCCACAGCACAACTGGGTGTAATTCCTTTGATGGGGTTCTCTATTCTCTCTTCTCTATTTTCTAAATAAAATTGCTTACCTTACTGAAAAAAAAAATGTGGTATGAGACCACACATAGATCACCTACACTTTCTAAGGAGTCAGTCTGGCAGACAATAAACCAGACACCACTGAAAGAAATGATTTTCTCATTACAGAAAAAAATATCTTAAAGATTGATTGCCAAGTTCCACTCAAATCAGTATACCACTCACGGGCAGCTGAAATGAGGACAGAGGGGCCAGGTTCTGAGCACACGCTCATAGGAGAATGGCAGGGTGGGTGGGAGGACCACCACATCCTAAACACACCCTCTCTAGCAGAGGAAGCAAACCCATGGCGTGGAACTGCCTTTCAGACAGTGCTCTTGTGCCTCTATCCCAGTGGGAAATGAGCTACAGTACAGAACTCAAGGACCAGATTCCTTGTGCCCTCACACCCCTGACCTCAGGCTCCCCCTGAAACCCAAAATATCCCAGGAACACAGCTGCCACCTTGCCTGCCCTTGAAAGCTGTGCTCTGGAAAGCAGAAGCCTCAAGTCCCTTCCCAGGCGCTATCTGCCGCTGCAAGCCCCAGTAGATGAGGAGCAAAGGCACTGACGATCTGCTCTACCCACTCGGCCATGTGGCAGCTCCTGGGCTCAGGCCCTCTATCCTGTCCCCTTCTCTACTGCTAACGTGGTCACTTAGCCCAACCCAGCCTTCCCAACCACATAGGGGGTGAGTGGTGGTGGGGCTGGCAGGACCAAGCGCCCTCACGAACCCACATAAGCTATTCTCCACATCTGTGTATTTCCATCAGATCGGTTTGCAGATTTCAGGATAAAGCAATACAAATAGCCTCACGTCGACTGAATAGTCCCCTCTGATTGCATTGAGTCAAATTCTGTCATGAATCCCGTATTTCATGCCTCCTAGGGGCTGAATGTGTTTGACAAATAGTTAAGGGAGTAATGAAACTTAATCATGGCCCAGCCCAAAGACTGGGATAGTATTCTGGAGTAGGTTCACAAATTCAGGTTTTTGATTCTGATGTAGAAAATCTATCAGTCAAGTTTACACAGTACATGATAGCTTGCCTCCAAATTTTAAGCTGGAAAGTCCTAGGATAATGTTTAGAAAAGAATCACAACTATGTGACTTTTTGTTTTCAAAACATGTAAGTTACATACTGTTGGATAACATTGGGTTGTCCTTGCTCCTCCTACAGGGAGCTCAGGTTTAGAAGTTATTCCCCCAGCAGGGCCCCGAAGGCACACCCAATTCCATCAAGCACTAATAATACTATATTACTTTTCTCTTTCCTTTATGTTATTTGCCTGGTTTAGCAATGTCCTTTTTGTATAGACACAGGGAGACTGTTGATGCTATGCTTTATAACATGGGAGTTAATTGAGTCCAAATAGTATTTACTCCTGAGCATCCATCATATTTACCTGACTTAAGCCTCAGTTGCCCTTACTACCTAACACCCCCGAAAGGAGAGTCCTGACAAAGGGACTGGATGGACCCAGGGCAAGCTATAAGCAACTCTGGCATTGAAAGGGGGCAAGACTAACACCATAAGTATAATAATTTAAGAGCACGGTCATGAGACAAACTCTGTCATGACCCAAAAACAAGTAGCTGAATAAGGACCCTGCTGGGTTAGGAAAGACGAAACTGGCCTGAGGACTGTAGTCTGGAATATATAGCGAAATGTCTCCAGGAAGAGCCAACCTTTCAGCTTAATATATCTCTTACTGTGTTCATACAAAATGGCTAGAAATATTATTGTGTTCATACAAAATGACTAGAAATATTATAAGAAGTAAATTCACTATGATTGATGAAATGGACTACTAGCTGAGGAAAGAAGAAAGCAACATGCCCTAGATAGAATCCTGCCCAGATCTCCTAGTAATCTGGAGTGGTGTCACAACCAAATCTCGGAACCCAGAGGCTTTTGGCAGAAATGCATCCAGACATTGCATTAAGCAACCAGCACCTGGCCACCCTGGGTAGGAAAAGGTATTGTCCCTTCCGCCTATTGCCCCTGGTGGCACAGAGGCTGCCATCTTTCAGAGTCTATTGGACAGTCACGTCTGAGCCAGCAGTGACAAGACGCAGGGCCTCACAGGATGAAGGACAAGACCCCGAGTTACCACTCATGAACAGTTCCTTTGTCTACTTACTGAGCTGCTTAACGGCCGTGACCCGAGGCACACAAATGAATCTCAGAACCCAGCAGCTTTTGGCAGAAATCCCTCCTGACTTATTAAAATATCAGAATTCTAAAATCATGCGGCCTCGCAACATATGCTCCTCATAATCAGCAATAGAAAACAAATTATCTAATGATGCCTGTTCAGCAGGTCTGATTGTCATGGAAAATTCCAAATAATGTTGGGTCTTTTTTTTTTCTTTCGCTTTTTGGGTCACACCTGGCGATGCACAGGGGTTACTCCTGGCTCTGCACTCAGCAGTTAATCCTGGCGGTGCTCAGGGGACCATATGGGATGCTGGGAATCGAACCCAGGTTGGCCGCGTGCAAGGCAAACGCCTTACCCACTCTCCAGCCCCAATAATGGTGGGTCTTTTGTCGAAATATTGAATGTATTCAAAGTAGAGAGAGAGTAAAGTGGAAATCATCTGCCACACAGGCAGGAGGAGGGGTGAGGAGGGGGTTATACTGGGGTTCTTGGGTGTGGAAAATGTGCAATGGTGAAGGGATGGTTGTTTGATCTTTGTAACTGTTCTCACGTGATTCAATTAAAAAAAATCTGTAGTGCTGAACCTTCAGATGAGATTTTGTCCTTAGAGTTAATCTCCTAGAACTTCCCCCCGAAGGTGTGGAACTTCCCCCTCTGTTTGTTCTTATGATAATGTTCAACCCCACCTATGTGAACCCCCACCCTTCACGATTTCTATGTAACTATGCTATAAGGGGAAAGAGAGAAGCTTTGGGGACTTAGAAGACAAAGATGAAAAAGGAGACAAGAGAAGACTTTGAGGTCTATGAGGAGACTAGGATAATGGAACTATGACTGAGACTATGACCAAAACTATGACTATAATTGTGCTGTAAGGGAGAGATTGAACTACGCTGGGGAGGAGAGAGAAAATAAACTGTATATCAATCAACATGGAGTCCAGTTCCTATTTCTCTGTTCCTCCAGTCCTTCGCCGTGGGCCGGCCAGGTAAACTGTTCTCGGCCACTGGAATGTTAGAGTCCCACGTGTGGCCCCCATGCGCTTTTCTTTTGAAACTCACAATACACAAACGACAATGTCTGTGTACTTGTCCCAAGCCCAATAAAACTTTCTGACAGCATCTCTTGAAGCACAAAGAAATAGTAAAATAATAAGTCTGGAAGATAGAAAAGTAGAAAAATGAAGAAAATGAAAGGAAGAAGAAACTCTACTATTAAAATCCGTCTCACTTAGAAGAGGTTTTAGAAATGCATCTCAGAAGACAGCAGCTCGCAAGAGATGTCTCCACCCTGTGCTGTGCTGATTTCACCAGGGTACCTCAGATGGAGCAGGTGTTCTCCTCCAAATGAACCTATCTCCAAACAAACCTCCAGAAGAAAAACCCAGGAAGGTGGGAGAGTGACTTAAAACTCTAGGCCGCAGGCAGGTATGGACCATCCCTCCCCATCTCCCCGCCCATTCAGTGTTCTGGCTATCACACCCACGAACTGCCTCTGGTATAATTTAAGCACTTTAACACCACGATCCAGAGATCACAAACGAATCTCAGAGGTCAGCAGCTCACCACAGAGATGTCTCCCAACCCAATTATTTAAAATTTGCGCGCAGCCGTCCTGGCCGAGGCAGTTTCGATTCCTCCGCCCCTCTCGGAGAGCCCAGCAAGCTACCGAGAGTATCTTGCCCACACGGCAGAGCTTGGCAAGCTCCCCATTTCACATTCCATACACCAAACACAGTGACAAGTCTCACACGGCGGATGTTACTGGGTCTGCTCGAGCAAATCGATGAACAACGGGAGGACAGTGCTACAGTGCTAGACATTCAGAAGTATGCAGCTGCTTTTGCGGCTGCGTGACAGACTATGCTATTCATAAAAAGTAATGCAAAATATATTTAGCATCTGCCTGTAGGGCAGGCTTCAGTGGTGGTGAGAAAATTTGGAATAATGGTGGAGGGAAGGTGTAACGGTGGTGGGATTGGTGCTGAAATATTGAATGTAATCAATTACTGTGTGAACAACTTTACGAAAATAAAATGGAAAAACTTAGGTTTTAGTGAAACGAGTGCTTTGGATTTTATTTTTTAATGAGACAAATTAGCCAGATAGTCCCAAGGTACAAAACCAACCTACTCCAGTGAGTGGGAACACAACAAAGTTCAATCTTTCCTGAGGGGGACGGTCTCTTCCCGGATGCCTTCTTTGGTCACGACGCAGATCCGCAGAGCATCCCCAGTGTACACGTCCCTCTCAGCGGCAGAAATGAAGACGTCTTTCACCAGCCTCATGGCTCTGTCCAAGGAGAGTGGGACATGCTCCACGTTTTGCATGTTCTTAAAACCAACCTGATGGAACAAGAAACTAGAGATGAAGCACCAGGGCTGCTGCACTACAGCAGGTGACAACGTTCCCCAGGTCCTCCACGTGTTGCGAGGAACCCAAATGAAGACACCTCAGTTTCTAGAGGTCCCTCAGCTGAAATGCTTCCAAACCTGGATCAATCACATCTACACGAAAGCCATCCAATGTTCACTGAGATAAGGTTTCTCCTGCTCTTTAGAAGCATACTTAGACATGGACACATATAGGCAGTGTTTCCTCACAATGTACACTGTATTACCTAGGATGAAAAGAATGGGAGGGCCAGGAGAACCACAAGAAGCCCTATGGAAATGGAAAGAAGTGGGCAGAAGATACACTCATGGAGGTGGGTGGCATGTGCAAAGGGTGTGCTGGAACTGAATACCACTGTAGACACAGGAGGTGTGTGCAAAGACTGGAGACAAGGCAGGCCTGCATGGGATGCAGAGTGAAAGAAGACTAGGCAGAGGAGCAACAGACATGTAAGTACAGGAAATAAATTTCAGAGAAGTAAGGAGTAGGAGTTAAGTTTGGCGGCAAAAAGGCCACTAGGAAATAATACAGTGGGGCTGGAGCTATAGTACAGTGAGGAGGGCACTTGCCTTGCATACGGCCAACACAGTTCTAATCCTATATATACCCTTTATGGTCCTCGAGCCCTACCAGGAATGATCCCTGAGCAAAGAAGTAGGAATAAGCCACGAGCACTGGCTTATTGTGTAACCTTATTGCTTATCAGTGGAACCCAAAAACAAAAAACAAAACAAAACAAAACAAAAAACACCCTACCAATTCAGATGTGGTCATGTATTTAACCAATGGAAAAGGCATCATATTTAAAATATATTTGGAAAGTTAGAAAACCAAATAAGAGACACTGGAGAGATAATATGGGGGCAAGGCACCTGTCTTGCCTATAGCTGAGGCTCTTTCTATCCCTGGCACATGAGCCCCCCAAACACGGCTGGGAATGACTCCTGAGTACTGAATTGGGAACAGACTCTAGAGTGGGATCCCCAAAAACGCAAAGAAAATTTGGTGACACAGAAACAGTGAGTTAGGGTGAAATGAAAAAAAAAAAAAGGTATTTTCTTTAGGTAATGGTAATCAAAAGTACTGACCCAATCAGGTTTGGAAAAAAGAAACAATGGCTTGGGGCTGACAAGACAGACAGTCTAAGAGTTAATGTGCTTGCCGTGCACATGCCCAAATGTGTTTAATGCCTGGCTATGGTGGGTGGCCACAGGAGAATTGGTATAACACTGAGAGACATCTGGGTGAGACGGGTCAAACATCTTACCTGGTTGTCCAGCAGAGGCTGCAGCATGGCACTTGCTGAGCCCCCCGCCTTGAAGGAATCTCTCTGGTAGGACCCCACAGGATCAAAGCTGTAGACAGCTCCCTTCCCTGAGAGAAGAAAAGAGATTCCATGAGCTGCAGTGCATTCTGATCATAATCACAAATCACAGTGGAATTACTTTTGGTTAAAATGTGATATAAGGGCGAGAGCAATAGTATGGTTGGTAGGGTGTTTGCCATGCACATGACTGAGCCGGGTTGATCCCCAGCATCCCATATTGTTCTTCGAGCACCACCAGGTGTGAACCAAAAAGGAAAAAACAAAAAAAAGAGAAGTGTGATCTAAGCGTTAAAGAGACACTTTTAACAGAGGGCAGGGCACCTGCCTTGCTTGTAGGTGGACTTGGGTTTAATCCCTGGCACCGTGTATGGTCCCTGGAGTTCCAACCCTCCAGCCCTGCCAGAGCTGTTATTTTATATTAGGACTGTTTCTGGAGGTGTGGGTTGGGGGAGAGGGGGGGTTGCAGTTTGTCTGCTGTGCTCAGATATCATTCCTATTGGTGATCACGGGACCATACAAGGGATCAAACCATGGAACCATGGTCAGCTATGCGAAGGAAAGCCTTAACTTCTATACTAGTTCTCTTGGTCCCAGATCAGAGCTCTTTCTATAAGATTAAGCTACAAACGGTCTATTGAACTCACACATCTTGAGAAAAAGTTATTACTGACTGCCCAATATTCACTACAGGAGCTTTGCTATACCCCTTGCTACAATCTCCAAATAATTGTTTCTTTCCCATTTATCTTTAGTTTCTTCTTTATTGTTAAACGAAAATGCTGGGAAAGAAAGGTGTTACTGTTATTTCACATCTAGACTAAAACAGACACACCTGAGAAATATTACCATCTTCATTTTAAGAACTTTGATTTTGGCGCGTGATTTACATTACAATGTTGTTAATTGTGAGTTTCTGGTACTTGACAGGGCACGGTGGGTATGGTGCTTTCCTTGCACTCAGCTGACCAGGGGTCAATCCCCAGCACTGCTTATGGTCTGATGGTCCAAATCCTGCCAGAAGTGACTGACCTCTGAGCACAGAGGCAGAGCAAGGCTTAGGCACAGCAGCCCCGTGTCTCAAAAACAAAACGACAAATTTCATATACAGCATGTTTCCCCTTTGAAACCACTATCAATGTCAGTGCCCTCCACCAACCCAGGTGCCCTTCTATCCCCTCATTTTCAAGAAAGAATTGTACCTTCTTCATCTAGACCTCCGATGATATTGTAAACGTAGTATGGAAAGAAGCGTCTTGAATAAAGAATTGTAGACAGCATTGCAGCGATTGCCCCTGTAGTCATGGCCTTATTATTGGAATGTTTATACATCTGCAATAATTAACAACAGGAATCAGAGGCAAACATACTGACAATGAAAAGTATGAACAAACATATCTTATGACAGGGAAAGAAAGGTTATCTCTTACGATAACACTGTATGGTAAGATTAAACCAGAAATGGTCAACTGACTCATATAACATCTTGAGGAAAAAAGTTATTACTGACTACCTAATATTCACTACAGGAGCTTTCCTATACCACTTGCTACATCTCTAGATAACTGTCAGGGCCCGGGGTGTGGCACATTGGCAGATGCGTGACTTGCATAGTTGGAGTTTGATACATGAAGTCCCATGCCCCACCCCTGGAAAATTGAAGGTGTGGTTTCTTATTAAACAAAAAACAAAAAAAAATCTGTTAAGACCTATTACTTAGGGGAAGCTATAATATTTTTAAGCTTGCTTTCAGCACTCTCATTGGAAGATCATTTTTCATGCTATTTTCTTCTCAGGGACTGCTAGTAAGAACCAGAAATATGATCAAACCTTGGGAGGTTTAAGAGTCAGTTCTCCTCCTCAAGAACTCCAGACTGGAGTTCGATGCCAGCTATAGACTACTCCCTATCTCTATATGTCAAGCTTTACTCTTTACCTACCATCTACATTTGCTTCTGCGTCAAACAAAACTGAAGCTGCCAAAGACCAAATAGCTCATAAACCCAAAATGCTGATTGCACAGGCCTGTATATATAAAGTATGCTGACACTCACCAGACTTCTATGTAATCCCTTTCTTTACAGAAGAAATGAGGTCAGAACCCACACTCTCAATGATTCTTGTTCTGGACAGCTATCTTATGCTTTATGGCATCAATATATACTGGGTAAGACAACAAAACATTTTGTGTTTGTGATTTTTGGGGTGCCATACCTAAAGTGCTCTGGGTTGACTCCTGGTGGTGCTGGGGTAGGGGGCAGAGGTGAGGGGATTTAGGGGGGATATATGGCACCAGTTATCAAGCTGTAGTCAGCTGTAAGCAAAGCAAGAGCATTAACTCCTGTACTATTCCCTGGCCTTGAGAACAGAACAAAATCTTAGGAAGGTAATACAGTGATTTTCAATCCTAGATTTCATACAATATTCTTGAGAATACTGGATCATCCAACGGACTGAGAATTCTGGAAAAAAAAATCTACAAAGTCTACAAAAATGCAAATACAAGATGAAGCTAAATTCACCAATTTTTGTTAGTATCACAGCAAGCATCAAATTTATCTACAGATAAATTGGTATATAAAGAATTTTTTTCAGGGGCCAGAGCAGTAGCACAGCTGGTAGGGCATTTGCCTTGCATGTGGCAGACCCAGATTGGATCCTCTGCTACCCATATAGTCTCCCAAGTACCGCCAGAAGAAATTGAGTGCAGAGCCAGGAGTAATTCCTGAGCATCACCAGACGTGACCCAAAAGACAGACAAGAATTTTATTTTCATTTCATAGCCAAGATTCTATTCAAATACATTTATATAATAATGTACAAAAGAAAAAGTTCAAAACAAACTGCATTAAGTTCAAGTCCCTGTTCCTTGTTTTGTTAATTTTTATCCTACATCGTCCACTGATAACATATCCATTAGAATCTGAGCTGGTTCCTGCATAAATGGTATAGGGGTTAGGTGACCGCCTTGCATGCAGTCAAATTCAGCACCACAGCCAGCATTGCATACAATTCCCAACAACCAGAAGGACTGACCCATAATCTCTATAGAGCTGAGCACCCAAGCACTGCTATGTGCTTCCCCAAAACAATATAAAAGAAAATATTCATGGGGCTGGAGCAATAGCACAGCAGGCAGGGTGTTTGCCTTGCATACAACCGACCCAGGTTCGATTCCCAGAATCCCCCTGAGCACCGCCAGGAGTAATTCCTGAGTGCAGAGCCAGGAGTAACACCTGTGCATTGCCGGGTGTGACCCAAAAAGAAAAAAGAAAAAAAAAAAGAAAATATTAGAAACCGTATGGCAATAAACTCAAGTCAATGAAGCTTTGTATCCAAGTAAAGATCCTGATTAGGGGTCAACAATCAACAAACACTGGGTCAATTCTGAACTCAAAAAAAGGTCAGTTAAATAAATTCATCACATATTCCAATGGTTCTGACATCATTCATGTATAATATATTCATTTGTTACAAATAGGCAGAACAGAGTGAATTGCTCCAGCTAATTTTTCTCATGTGACACTTATGGACTTATTATGTAAGTAAGAAAAATTTAAAAAAAAAGCATCACAAAACTGCAGCAGAAAACTAAAAGATAATAATGATATAAATACTGACTGCTCTGAAAAACTGGACACTGTAGTTATGTGAAGCAGTACCCGACTACAACTCTGTATTGCTGCCAACTAAGGACTGCATGCTGTTCCATCACTGTAGTTAAGCCGACACCAGTGCAGCCCAAACCAAAGCTGATCTTTGAACACTAAAACACTGTGCAGCTGAAACCAGTGTCTTTATCCAAAAAACTGTTGCTGACTGGAAGCCTCAATGATAAAATTGTCAATCCACACATACTGCACATACTATACACTGTATTCTTACAATTAAATAGGTTACACAAAAGAAAATGTTAAGGAAATCACAAGAAAATTAAGTATCCCACGCCATCCATTTACAATATTCTGGCAAGTGTACCCTCTCAGATGTAAATTCAAGTGTCAACTGTATTGTTTTCTTGGAAACCATTTGAAACTAATACTATATAACACCTAAAGAAGCCATAATAAAAATTTGGATATGCATTTATTTTTATCAAGTTTGTTCCTGTTTCTCATTCCCAAATGCCTCCCAACCCCATATCAAGTCAAGCAGGTAAGCAATACTGAATTAGTCTTGTTCTCTAACTCCTCCCTAATTCTTCCCTTTTTCTCTCTTCTAGCCCATCTGTTTCCTATGCTCTTCTCCCTCAGCTAGCCAGCAACAAGATCTATCCAAGTGTTAACTAATAATGGCTAAAATATTCCTCTACCTCAAGCTTCTGGCTTAGTCCTTCTAATTTCTGCTTAAGAGACTCGATTTTTCAATAGTGTAGATATATACAAAAATAAACCAACTACCTTTAATCTTGCTTCAATAATCTTTGTCAGGGTAAGACAGTCTCCATGAAAACCACTGCATCCAATGACTGTTTTGTCTGTTCTGTAAAAAGCACATTTCAAGGAACTGAGCTGGTTACACAGGAGAGCAAACATGTCCTGGGAAAATCTTACATTAAAACTTCTACGTCTATTTTGGGGAATGGAAACAGTGACATCTTACTCATTAACTAAATGAATCGCAGAGATTCCTAAACTTACTTGGCCTACTGTTCCTTTCTCAGGGTGGGACCAGAATCATCACTTAATACCCCCCTTGAAATCTACCTTCTCCAAGGGGACAGAAAGTGTCTCCTATCCCACTGTACCCGAGACTAATGACTGCCCTACACCCCAGCACCATCCCCATCTCCTGCGGGGGTGGGAATGGGGGGAGGGTAGTACCACCCACTCTGGGAAACAACATAAAAACATGCAAATATTCTCACAGAAAAATATTAATGGTTAGGAAAAGGAAACAGTAACACATTGGAACTAGGCTTAGAATGACAGTACAGCGGGTAGGGCGCTTGCCTTGCATTCAGTGGAACTGGATTCGATCCCTGGCACCCCATATAGTCCCTGAACCTGCCAGGTATGATACCTGAGTGCAGAGTGAAAAGTAAGCCCTGAGCACCACAGGGTGGGAACCCCCCCACAAAAGAAAAACCAAACCACCCGCACTGAAACTAAAGTCTAATTGGGAGTGGGGGTGAGGTTTGTGCATATCTAGTGAAGGTTCTGGGATTATTTCTGGCACTGTGCTCAGGGGTCACAACTGGCAGTGCTTGGGATCATATGTGGTACCAGAGATTCAACTAGGGTTAGCCATATTCAAACTAAGTGCCTTAATCCCTAAACTAAATCCCTAAATCTCTACAACTCCTGAAGTTCAATTCTAACTTCATTAGTCTATGAAGGGAAAAGCATCAACATAATAAAGAGGGGTAAATTGTGTAGAAGTCACAGAGTAAAGCCTACAGTATTATAAACAAAGTGCCTTCCATCACTCAGAAATCAGAATCTAATCAAGATGTGATTTACTTTCATTTGTGGAATATAAAAAACCATAGTATGAGACTTAATACCTAAGGAGCATAGAACAAGGGCCGGAAGGAATAGTCCACTGTTGGAAGCTTGCCACAAGTTGGTGTTATGTGTGTGTATGGGGCTGGGGCTGGGGGGAGGGCAATTAGGATAGAGAAGGGACCATCATGACAATTATGACAATGATAGTTGGTAATGATCACTCTGGACAAGACCTGAGTGCTGAAAGTAAAGGAATATACATGATAATGTTCCAGTACCTGTATTATAAACCATAATGCCCAGAAGCAGAGAGAGAGAGACAGAGAGACACAGATATCTATAGCTATCTACCTAGAGGTGCCTACTGTGGACAGAGGCAGGCGGGGGGTGGGGGAAGGGGTATTGCCTAGAGAAAAACTGAAGACACTGGTGGTAAGAAATATACACCGGTGAAGGTATGGGTGTTGGAACACTGTATGACTGAAAACCAATCATGAACAACTTTGTAACTGCGGTTATTTAATAAAAAATTAAATAAAAAAAAGCTATGATTTACTAGTCTGGCTATAATGCTGAACACTGGTGAGATTGTGGAAAACATGTTCTTTTGGTTACTGGGAAAGAATGCACAAGGATCTAACTTTCTCAGTAGGCCACTTGACACTATCTGGCCAAATTTATCTGTATTACTCATTCAGTAATTCCACTATTAAAAATGTATCCTGTCAAAACAAAAACCAATATAAATGTCTATGAGGGGGTGTATGAGGAGATGGGTCTCATTAAATTCTGGCGTGTCCATACAAATATTTACTTACAATTTATAACATTTGGGGCTGTCCCGTGTATGAATCGAAAATCCTTCACTCAACCGTGTATCAGAGGCAACAATCGAAAAATCTTCTCCAGCAATTGCCAATACAGTGCTAAATAAGAAAAAGAAAAAGAAAGAAAAATTAATGAATTCTGCACGGTAATGATGTCTTTCCAATAAGGGTATAATCCAGAACCTATACACTTGACCAGTAAACAACTCAGGTATGGGGTACGGGGGGTGGCCAACGAACCTCCCTTTCTGCTCTCTTTCAGTTGAAAAACTGCATATGACACAACCCCCAAAGTAACACAGTTGATTCTCTCTCTCTCTCTCTCTCTCTCTCTCTCTCTCACACACACACACACACACACACACTCACACACACGATCACTCTGGACAAGATCTGAGTGCTAAAGGTAAGTAAAGGAATATACATAACAACCTAGTAACTACTGTAAACAGTGCCATCTCTATATATCTATAACTATATCTAGATATAGATACATTCAGTATTCTTTTTGTTATTCTCTGGGCTACACCTGGCAGTGTTCAAGGAACCATGCAGTGCTGAGGATCAAATCCAGCTCCCTAAATGCCTAAGGCATGCTTTGCATGCAACTTAGTTATCTCTTTGGATCCCTGTTTATCCAAGTGTTCCTACAGAGTAGACTAGAGATAAGGTTAAGAAAGTCATGGGAGAGACATAATGCAAGAGGTAAAAGCACTTGACAGCTTTGCATGTGGTGGACCCCAGTTTGAATCCTCAGCACCATACAGGATCCTTCTAACACTGACAGTAGTGATCGCTGAGTACAGAGCCAGGCATAAGCCCCAAGCACAGTGGGTATGGCCCGAAACAAAACAGAAAATAGGAAAGAGTATTTGCGACCACAAGTTTTTGTCACCTGTTGACTAGGTGCCCTGGAGATGTGGCTCAGTGGCATGCAGGTAAGTACCTCCTAGTTTAATCTTTGGCACTGCCGGTGTGATTCTATGTGTGGGTGCCCCAGAGCACCATAATCAAGTGTGCACGTCACCCCCTCCCCCTCCCCTGTGCACTGCAACCAAGTGTGTAAGCATCATGACCAAGTGTCCGTGAGCCCTGGTACCCTGCAGCAATAAGTACCAACCAAGGAAAGGGAGGGAAAGCAAAGTGAGTCTACACAGTTTAAAACCGTGTTGCTCAAGGATCAACAGCACCTGGGATAAAATCTATTAGAAGGACAAACAGTGGATACGGGCCATACAGCCGGTAGGGCAACGACCATTCCATAAAGTCCTTCAAGCACTGCCAGGAGTAATTCCTGAGTGCAGGGCCAGGAGTAACCCCTTAACACTGCCAGGTGTGGTCCAACGAGTACCCCCACCCCATCAAAACCAAAAAAAAAAAAAAAGCACACACAGGAGTCAGTTGCAAAAGACCAAGGAAAAAAGATCCCTGTCTACAGTAACCTGGGGAAAACTATTCAGCATTCCCTAAGAAAACAGAGAACACCACTAACGGGTTTTCAGCAGAAAGTAACAGAAAAGTCACATAAAAGTCATAAACACGAGGACCTGGGTTGGAGCCTTCGCACAAGAACAAAGAAAAGAAAATCGTGATAGTGGCTAATAAGCTCAGATGTTGCAAGGATCGAATGAGTCACTGCAAAGTCCCGATACCAGTGCTCAAACCCCAACGGGCATCCAGCAATGCTGTTTGCGATGCTCCTGTCTGCGGCTGTGGTGTGAGCGCTGATGCCGCTCCGGGAGGCCCGTCTCACACACACCAACCGTGCCAGGCTGGCCCAGCTCTCCGTGGCCTGGAGGGGGCTGGCCGGGGAGCTCAGCAGGCTGAGGTGTCCGCTCTGCATGTATGGCCTCCAGCTGACGCCGGGACCGTAGCTTAGGGTGCCTTTAGGCTGGAAAGACACACAGTGCCTCACCGAACAAACGCGCCGAGCAAGGATGGCACCTGGGAGTGCACCAAACAGCAAGCACAGGCCCGGAGCACGAAACCCACCAATTCGGCTTCCAGTTCCCGGCGGGCTCGAGTGAGCGGGGACCCTCGGCCAGGGCCCCTGCAGCCACGCCCACCCCGCGCCCGGCCGAGCGGGAGGACCGTGCCCGTCCGAGCCAAGCAGGCGCCGGCGAGCGGGGCGCGCGCCCGCCCGCCGGCGGGGCAGGGCCCGCTTCTGGGGAGGCCCGCGGGGAGCTCGCCCGGCTCGGCGCCCCGGGGGCCGTTTCCTGCGCGGAGCAGGGCAGGGCACTTCCGAGTCCACGGAGGACGGAGCCCAGACGCGAGGTTCCCTTCGGAAGTGGCGGCTAACCCGGACAAGCAACGATCCGTGCCGCTCGGCCCAGCCAAAGGCACAACACTGGACCGCGCGGCCGCGGCTCACCGCCAAGGGCAGCGCCCCGCGCGAGCGCGCCCGCCCGCCACCCCGCCGGCCGGGAAGGCGCCCGCCGCGCTCGCAGGCGCCCTTACCCTCCGTTGAAGGCGTAGGGCGAGAAGCGCTGCTGCAGGGGGCCCGCGTCGCAGCGAGGCTGCAGCGCCAGGTCCCCGCCGGGGCCCGGGAACACGGCCGCAGACGACAGCATGGCTCGGCTCGGCTCCCTTGGCTCGGTTCGCTTGGCTCGGCTCGGCTCCGCTCCGGGGCGCTCCGAGGCGCTCCGGTAGGCTCGGCTCCTGCTGTCTCACGCCGAGATGGCGGCCGGCCGGAAGTAGCGCCACTTCCGCCGGAAGCTCCTTCCGCCGCTCTGGCACGCGTCTCTGGTCCCGGGGTCAGCGCCGCCGCCTGGCCGGCGTCCTTCTTGCAGGATGCTACGAAAACATCCGATTCTCTTCGGATGGGCTCAAGTTTCAGGGTCTGGCCGTCCAAAACTTGGCAAAACCACGGAAGAAGAGGACACTAGAATCCAAGTGGACTGAAAACCGGAAGCTCCCCATTGAAAGGGCATCATTGGCGTCCCGGAAGAGATGGAGACACGCACCGCCTACGGACCTGCAGAAGCCCTGCGCAGGAAAGTCCCAAGAGCCTCGCTCTTGGTAGTCTTCAGTGGGAAATGAGCCACACGACCATAGCAGCAGAATGGTTAAGGCACGCAAACGGGATTCCAATGAGGGGACATGTCACAGTTGTCCAATATAAACAAAATTAACCTGGACCACCTCGGAAAAGAGTCTGGCAAACTCCCCGTGGTGTACCCAATATGCCAAATACCAGTAACAATGATGGGTCTCATTCTCCTAAAGAGCCTTGAATATAATCTCAGGGCTAGGATGAAAGAGATGTTACTGGGGCCTGCTGGAGGCGATCTACGAATAAGAGGATGACTTGTGATTTGTGACCTCGTAAAAAGACATGTGCCTGAATGACTCGTTTTGTAGAGTGCCATGTTGCGTATCTTGGGAGTGCGATAGGAGTTGGCCGAGAATGAGATGGGCGCCTGAATCTGGGAGGGTATTCCAACGAGGGCAAGTTTCTTGATTTAAAACCACTATTAATTTGTACATATGTTGACGCACGTGTTTAAGTAGGAGTTACAGTTTACAGTTAGAAAAAAGTTTTATGGACAGAGAGCTAGTACACAGGTTAAGGTAGTAATACAAGAGACACAGGTTGATCAGAAATCCAACCTCTGAGCACAGAGCCAGGAGTACCACTAATGTAGCCCCAACTTCCATCCTCAAAAATAGGCCCAAGGAGATAACTAAAAGCGTCAGTGCTCCTGTACATGTGGGAGGCACAAGATCAATTCCTCAACCACTGAAGTTACTCCCAAGCCCCTGAGCACACAGTGGTGTGTTCAGAAAACAAAACTAGTTGACTTGGAATATCTTATACACAGACACAAACACACACACACACACACACACACACACACACACACCGCCTTTCTCCCCATTTTTTTCTGTTGTAAATCAGGACTACACTTAGGTAAGCAGGGTTCTACTAACAATTCCGGAACAACCCCTGACCCCAAATGTACATTTTGATTTTGGGACCACACCTGACTGTGCTCAGAGATGATTCATGGCAGGGGTTGGCAGTGTAATGAGGTAACCCGAAGAAAAGCAGGCAGCGGCTAAAAGACAGCTGGGAAGCGGGATGGGACACCCCAAGGACACGGACAGGATGCCCTAAGAATAATCTGAGATTGGACGGAGTAGTTATCACACATTGCTATTTTCAGCTGCCAAATAGAAAAGTTTTTATTTATTTATTTATTTACTTTTGCTTTTTGGGTCACACCCAGCGATGCTCAAGGGTTACTCCTGGCTCTGCACTCAGGAATTACTCCTGGCGGTGTTGGGGGACCATATGGAATGCTAGTAATTGAACCTGGGTCGGCCACATGCAAGGCAAATGCCCTACCCGCTGTACTATCGCTCCAGCCCCTAGGAAAGTTTTTAACCATTCAAAGCTAACCGCAAATGTCTGGCTTCTATACTCTGCTTCTTGCTTGGTTAGAAGAAATCTAATTGATGTTACCAAGCAGGATATAAGAATGTATAAAAAGCTTTGCCTGGACTTTGGTTCCAGGCTATTTGTTGCACTGAGACCCTCGTTAGGCTTGGCAGCCCCTACAAGTAAATAAAAGCTCTTAAGTTCAGCAAGCAAGCGTGTTTGAGACTTTTTGGGTAATCTCTCCACAACAGTGAACTTAGCACTACTGACATTAGGAATCCAGGTTTGCTGTCTGCAATGCAAGCACCTTAACCCCTGTACTATCTCTCCAGCCCTGGAACCAAGTTCCAGGAGAAACTACTGAGGAATTATCTATTTGAGAAGTACTCGCTCAGGGACTAGAGAGTACACAGATTAAAGTGATTGCCCGCCCCCCACCTGCATTGCCAATTAAACAAAATATATAAATAAACTCTCCTCTGCATTTTTTAAATGTAGCTGTACTATTATGTGTTCAGCCACTATTAAGCTTGATGTTGGTGGGCTCCTCTAGGTGACTTGTGTGAAGCAGGAAGGAGAAAGTCGGTCGCTTTCTCCCCATCCGCCCCCAGCACCTGGGACCCACTGGGAAGACTAGGACTGGTAAAGTCTGCGATGAGCCCCTGCTCCGTATGGGCCTGAGCCCTGCTGGCCCCACCAGGTGGCCATCAAGCCACACCTGAAGTTCACTTGGTCGGCCAGGCATGGGAGTTGATCCTCACCACCCAATTTCTCAGGGATCCACGGACTCAGGCTGGAGCAAGGATTTGCTCTTTGCAGGAAAGAGAGGCCAGTCCCAGACCTCACCCAGGGTTTTTGGGGTTCTTGTTTCACCGCGAAGAAAAAAAATTCAGGAGTAGACAAGCAAGCAGTGAAGTAAAACATTTTATTTGGAGGTTTTGAAAGGAGGGGTGGGGGATAGAGAGACAGAGAGAGAGAGAGAGAGAGAGAGAAGGGGGAGAGAGAGAGAGAGGAGAAAGAGAGAGAGAAACACTCAAGGAAGAGTGTGGGTTTCTCCAAAGATGGAGAAGTATTGAAATGGCTTTTAAGGCTGGTTTTTTTTTTGGAAGCTCAAGTCTACTTTATTTTTAAGAATCTATTTTTTAAAAATATTTTCCATAAAGGCATTCCCACCAGCAGTGAATGAGAGTTCCTTTCTCTTTGCATCCAAGCCAGCACTGTTTGTTCTTTTTTTTTTTTTAATTTTTATTAGTGAAACACCATGAGGTACAGTTGTAGACTTACAAATTTTTGTGCTTAGGTTTCGATTATACAATGATCAAATACCCATCCCTCCACCAATGCCCATCCTCCACTGTTGGAGTACAAGGAGCTTAGGTTTATCTGGTTACACCAATCACAGTGCTCCTGAGGCACTTCCATTCTATTGTGTTTATCTGTAAACAGTCTTCTCTATGCTCTCCTTCCCACCCAGTTAATCAGCTTTCCCCTTAATCAGACTGTTAATTTGTAAGATAAGCTTCCCAGAAATCTATGATTTTATATGTATGAGTGAAATATTGCCTTTCTCCTCTCCTTATGCCTTATGAACAGTTTACTTTAAAGCAACATCCTTTTTGTATAGATACAGGAAGACCGTTAACATTATGCTTTGTAACTTAGGATTTGATTGGCCTTGAATATTGTTCACTCCCAGGCATCTGCTTTCTCGATTTAAGCCTCAGTTGCCCTTAGTTCCTAACACCCCAAAAGCAGGGTCCCGACGAGGGACTGAATGGACCCAGGGCAAGCGGTGAGCTACCCTGGCATTGAAATGGTAAAGGTAAAGGTAAAGGCCCTCCCGTTGTTCATCGATTTGCTCGAGCGGGCCCAGTAACGTCTCCATTGGAGATTTTGTTACTGTGTTTGGCATATCGAATACATCACGGGTGGCTTACCAGGCTCTGCCGTGTGGGCGAGATACTCTTGGTAGCTTGCTGGGCTCTCCGAGAGGGGTGGAGGAATCGAACTCAGGTCGGCCATGTTGACTGCGTGCAAGGCAAACGCCCTACCGCTGTGCTATCGCTCCAGGCATTGAAATGGGCCAGGCCAAAGTGCCATGATTCTTTGTGTGTGTGTGTGTGTGTGTGTGTGTGTGTGTGTGTTTTTATTAGTGAAACACCATGAGGGACAGTTGTAGATTTACAATTTTTTGTGCTTGGGTTTGATTATACGATGATCAGATACCCATCCCTCCACCAGTGCCCATTTTCCACCACCATGGATAATATCCCCCCCACCCCCATCCCCCCATCCCCCTTTGCCTCTGTGGCAGGGCAATCCCTTGTGTTCTCTCTCTCCTTTTGGGTGTTGTGGTCTGCAAAAGAGGCATTGAGTGGCAAACATGTTCAGCCCATAGTCCACTTTCGACATGCATCTCCCCTCCTGGGAGGATCCTCCAAACACCCTTTATTTGGTGTTTCCTTCTCTATCTGAGCTGCCCTTTCCTCTAGAATGCCCGACTGGCCACTAAGCTATGGAGTAATCCTCCTGGTGCTGATCTCAGCTATTCTTGGGTATTAATCTCATATTTTGTTACTTTATATCCCCCAGATGAATGCAATCTTTCTATGTCTATCCCTCTCTTTCTGACTCATTTCGCTTAGCATGATACTTTCCATGATGTACCACTTGTATGTAAATTTCATGACTTCATCTTTTCTAACAGCTACATAGTACTCCATTGTGTAGATGTACCAAAGTTTCTTTAACCAGTCATCTGTTCTTGGGCACTCAGGTTTTTTCCAGATTCTGGCTATTGTAAAGAGTGCTGCAATGAACAAACAAGTGCAGATGTCACTTCGACTATACATTTTTGCCTCTCTGGAATATATTCCAAGGAGTGGTATTGCTGGGTCAAATGGGAGCTCAATTTCTAATTTTTTGAGAATCGTCCATACTGTTTTCCAGAAGGGCTGAACCAGTCGACATTCCCACCAACAGTGAAGGAGTGTCCCTTTCTCGCCACATCCGCGCCAGCATCGGTTGCTTTTGTTCTTTTGAATGTGGGCCAGTCTCTGAGGTGTGAGATGGTATCTCATTGTGGTTTTGATCTTCATCTCCCTGATGATTAATGATGTAGAGCATTTTCTCATGTGCTTTTTTGCCATTCGGATTTCTTCTTTGAGAAAGTTTCTGTTCATTTCATTGCCCCATTTTTGGATGGGGTTGGATGTTTTCTTCTTATGGAGTTTAACCAGTATTTTGTATATCCTGGATATCAACCCCTTGTCAGATGTGTATTCGGCGAGTGCCATGATTCTTAACTATAAGTTTGATCATAGACAAATGCTGTCATGATCCAAAGGTAACGACGAGACTAGGATCCTGCTAGAGGTGAGAAAGACTATCTGGCCTGAGCACTGTAGTCTGAGATCGAGATGGCCCTAGGAGAGCAATTCTATAAGTTTAAGATATTTCTTACTGTATCCATACAAAATGATTTATATTATATATTCTTATATGCTTGTGGACAAGGAGAGGGGAAACACACCCATGAGATTCTGCTCTAGGGTGGGTCCTCCTGCTGAGAAAGGATCTGTCCTAGGAGCGGCTTTCCCTGAGGCTAAGATTTCTACCCCTATTGATTGTGACCCACCTATGTGTAATTGTTCCCCCAATTCCTCATGGAGAGAGGATTTACTAGACTGTAGGAGTGGGCTGGGGTTGGAGCAGGGATCAGAAGGGGTCAGAAGGAAGAAGCAGAGGTCAGGAGGAAGGAGAAGGAATCAGAAGGGGATCAGAAGGAAGAAGCAGAGGTCAGAAGGAAAGAGAAAGAGGGATCAGAATCCAGACTCCATAGAAGGAGGATGAAGGGGGATGGAGAAGGAGAATGAAGTAGCATGGGGGAGGAAGAAGCAGGGAGCAGAGGCAGAGAAGGAAGACTGGTGTAGATGGAGAGAGAATCAGAATAAATTACGACTAATACCAACCAGCCTGGCCCTCGTTTCCTTCCTCCGCCTGACCATCGCCATCGACCTCCCCGGGGTGGGGGAAGAAGGGTGACACTACCGAACGCGGGCAGCGGGAGAGATAGAGTCACCGCCACTGTGTGCCGTGCCCCCTTTGTGTGAGTTTACACACTCCACCACCATGGATCCCAGTATCCCTCCCACCCCATCCCCCATCCCCCCTGCCTCTGTGGCAGGGCATTCCCTCTTGTTCTCTCTCTCCTTTTGGCTAAGGTCAAGGTCACGGTCCTCCCGTTGTTCATTGATTTGCTTGAGCAGGCCCAGTAACGTCTCCATCGTGAGACTTCTTGTTACTGTGTTTGGCATATCGAATACCTCACGGCTGGTTTATATATGCATATTCTTTTTAAAAAAATTTTTAATTTTTATTAGTGAAACACCATGAGGTACAGTTGTAGACTTAGAAATTTTTGTGCTTGGGTTTCAATTATACAATGATCAAGTACCCATCCCTCCACCAGTGCCCATTTTCCACCACCACGGATCCCAGTATCCCTCCCACCCCCCATCCCACCCCCCGTCCCACCCTGCCTCTGTGGCAGGGCATTCCCTTTTGTTCTCACTCTCCTTTTGGGTGCTGTGGTTATATATGCATATTCTTAAGAAGCCTTAGTCTGGAGTTTTTCTGGGCAGGTAGGGGTTGGTCAGGTGTCAAAGGAACAGCTTTGGAGTTTCTGGCCAATCTTTTTCAGGTTCTTAATTGATCCCTATTTCTTCTGCTGTCATCCCTGTAGGGGTTCAGCCTCTGCAGGGTCTGTCACAGACTGGTGGACTGATGCCAGTTACTTCTCCATGAGGTCAGGGCTATTACTTCCCAGGAGATTTACTGCCATTGCCTTGGGAGGGGGCCTCCCCTATCTGCCTGCCTGCCTACATCAAGCTGACTGAAGCAGGCAAGAATTACACCTTACTTTAAAAAAATGTTTTAAATTTTATTTTCATAAATTTGTTCACAATATTTATATTCAGCATTTCAATACCAATTCCCTCCACCATTATTTCTAATTTTCCCACCACCACCCAAGCCTGCTCCATAGGCAGATGCTAAATAATTTTTGTATTGCTTAGTATGCATAGTATGAGATTTCACGTAGCTGCAAAAGTGGCTGGTCAGAAAAGCAGTTGATATGGATTCAGGGGGAAAATCCACTTAAGGGTAATTTGTAGAGATAAACCCAGCGGCTACTATGTACTCACATAGAGCAGAAACTCAATTTTTTTGGAGGTAAAAAAAAGACTCAGATGAAGTCATCCTCTCAAGGTCATAGAAATAAAAAAGCAAGTTTCTAAGGGCAAGGGCTGGGTCTTTTTTTCTGTCCAGAAAACCTCAGAATGTTCTGTCTTAGCTCCCAGGCAGAGATTATATAAGAACATATGAATTTTCATCTACCACAGAATACGGTGACACCCTGTCTTTCTTTACTCCCTCTATTTTATACTATTTTATGTTTCATTGGTTTATTTGAATCCAGAGAGATCTGTAAAATCAAGATTAGTATAATAGTAATATTATTGTAATAGGAACCTGTATACCTAGGCTAATTAATTGAGAGAACAATATTAAGAATTATGCACTTTAACTTGTGAGTTTTAAGGCAATCTGGAAGTGATTACTGGACAATTTTAGAATTTCAGTTACTTGCTGGAGTGATAGCAAGCGGATAGGGCATTTGTCTTGCACGCAGCCGACCCAGGTTCAATTCCTCTGCCTCTCTTGGAGAGCCCAGCAAGCTACCGAGAGTATCTCGCCCGCATGGCAAAGACTGGCAAGCTACCCGTGATGTATTCAATATGCCAAACACAGTAACAAGTCTCACAATTTTTTGTGAGATGTTACTGGGCCCACTCGGGCAAATCGATGAACAACAGGAGGACAGTGCCATAGTGCTACAGTGCAAAGTGGCTGCGCACTCCTGAAATTCTAGAATTTTTTTTTTTTTTTTTTTTTTTTTGCTTTTTGGGTGACACCTGGCGATGCACAAGGGTTACTCCTGGCTTTGCACTCAGGAATTACTCCTGGTGGTGCTCAGGGGACCATATGGGATGCTGGGAATCAAACCCAGGTCGGCCGTGTGTGCAAGGCAAACACCCTACCCGCTGTACTATCACTCCAGCCCCTAGAATTTTTAAAAATATTTGGGGTATGGAGGCATCTCTGTGATGTGCTGCTCTCTCCTGGGAACATTCATTTGCAAGTCTCCAAATCATGGTCATTAATACGCTTAAATGGTGCCCAGAGGCAGTCCTTGGGTCTGACTGCCAGGGAACTGGTAGGGCAGGGAGATAGGGGGAGGTTGCCCATCCCTAACTCCGTGAAGCCTGGAGTTTTCAGTCACAGACACATACCTGGGTTTTTCAGTGGATTCATTCTCATTGGGTGTGGAGGGGGAAGGGCTCAGTACAAGCCTGTGGAGGTTGACCCTGAGCATGGTGTAGATTGAGTTCTTTAGGTTTGTGGCTGCTGGAATTCACTTGGGACAAGCAAAGGTATATACTTGCCCCCTCTCCGAGGTGCATAGTGCAATCAGCCTGGCATGGGGTGTGGGGACATCTCTGCAGCATGCTGCTCTCTTCCGAGATTCATTTGTGAGTCTCTGAATCATGACTGTTAATGTGCTTAAATGACCTGATTTTGATCTCTTTCGAGATTGATGGGTCTCTGAAGTAAGGCCGATAAATGAGCTTTTATAACTGAGTTGAAGGTGGTTTGTGGGTGTGACTCCCACATACCTAGCTTTTGCCATTTAATTTCTTGGGAAACTTGGTCCCAAGTTGTTGGGATCTGGCCAGAGGCACAGAGGCAATTTTGGGGTCAGGAAGCCTCAAGACACCATCAAGATACTGCTCCACTCGCCTCACAGGTTCACCAGAGGGGTGACACCGTATCCCCTTCTCCTATGCATTATTGCAAACAAAAGGTAAGGCATTTGTCTTTGATGGGTAAGGAGGCCATCCCTTGTGTGATTCAGATAGTATGTATCCTGGATACAAAAAAGATCATACGTTTCCTATGCTTGAGTTCTCAAGTCCACTACACAAAATGCAGAATAAGTAAACTAACAAGCATAATAATACGACAGTGTCCTACTGAACCACCATTTAGTAGCAGAGTCTGAGCAAGCCTGAACGTTGCGGTGCTCTGTGCCAGGTGAAAGGGCACAAAACCGGTAGAACTACGGCTGCATCTGCAAACGGGGCGGTTTCTGTGTTTCTCACCATCCTACGTGTCCAGGAGCCAATACCCGAAGAACACACGGAGAGCCCACACCGCGCAAGTGTTTCGTGGACCATGCCCTCCGAGAGGCGCCGACGTTGCCCAGACAGCCGGCAAGGCCACGAAAAAGCCAGGGCCCCCCGCCGGCCGGCCGCATCTGAGAGGCGGCCTCCTGCTTAGATCCAGCGACGACCAATCAGAACGCGCGCTGTCGCCGAGGCCTCGCCCCGGAAGTCTAGAGCGCCGGCCCGGGCCGCCGTGCCTGACGCCGAGCTCCCGCGGGCAAGCCGGAAGTGATCGCGACACAACGGAAGTGACGCGCGCCCACACTACCGCGACCGCCCCTCGGGCCGGGGGAAGCCTCCGAAGCCGCTGGTGGGGCTGGCGGAAGTGACGTTTCAACCCGCGCCAGAAGTTAAGTCGGGTCGGGAAGGGTCGCGGTGGCGGGCGCCGGGCCCGTTGCACCTTGCCTTGGCCTTCGCCCGCTGGCGGAGGACGTCGAGGCGCCAGGTGAGCGGCCTTTCCGTTTCTGCTCCTTTCTGAGGCGGCGTGCGGAGGCGACCGCGCCAGCGAGGCCTGGCGGCGGCGGGACACGGCGCGGAGGGCGCGCAGGCCGCGCGGGACCTTCCCGCTCGTGCCGCCGGGCCCGGCCGGTAGCGGCCGCGAGTCCCGCCCGGTGCCGTCCGCGGCCGGCCCAGAGGCGGCGGCCCGGGGCGAGCGTGCGGAGCCGCCTGCGGAGCGGGCGAGCGTGCGCCTTTTCGGGCTAGCCAGCAGGCGAGGAGCGGGAGCGCCCCGGGCCGGGAGACGGTTCCGAAGCCGCGGCCGCCGGTGGGCTCGGAGCAGAGGCGGTGGGGCTCGGGGAGCCGCGGCCTCCTGGGGGCGGGTCCGCAGACGCGCCCGCGAGCGTCTCTCCCCCGCCGTGCTCGCGGCGGGGCGGCCCGGTCGCGTCTCCGGGCCGGGGCGAGCGGGCGCCTCGGCAGCCCGGAACGGCCGTCTGCGGACTCCTGGGGCCCGAAGGCCCGTCCGTCGCCCCTCGGCCCTTCCCGCCCGCCTCTCGCCTGAGCGCGGCCGCGGCGCTGTCAGGGCTCCGTCCCGTGCCGGGCTCGGGGCGGGGGCCACGCGCCCAGGCGCACACGCTCGGCCTGTCGCGAGGGGCTGCCACTCGTGTCTTTTCTGTTACGGTTTCGGGGGGGCGGGTCAAGTCGCCTCAGGACTTCAGGGAGAGAAGCAGGGGGGCCCAGCGGAAAGGGTAGGGGTCTGCCCTGCTGGCGCGTGCGCCTAGTCTCCTTGCAGCGGGGCGGCTGCGCCTTGTCACGCACCGCCGGACCCCGGCAGCGGAGCAGGCGGAGCTCGCCGCCCCGTGGGACCCCAGCAGTCTGAAGTCACACGCTGCGTCCGGCGGTGTTGGGCGGGGGGGGGCACACCTGGCGGTGCTGGGAATCGGTCCGGGCCCCTCGGCTTGGGTTGGTGCTGAAGGTGAAAGGCTGGCCACGCAGTTGGTCCTCCCAGATACCTACTGCTGCACTACAAACCCTTCTCTTTGGTATGACTGTAATAACGATTAAATCACGATAACACAACGTAGATTTGCTCTCTCCCCCTCCCCTCCTTGGAGGAACTTTTCTTACTGCCAGCTAAACTGATCACTCCACTCTGCACCACACCACATGCTTTCTTGTTATGTCCGTGGGTCTTTTTGCGATTCATCTTTTGCCTGGAGTGTTGATCTGTAGATTCCTGCTCACGTTACTAGTCCCGAGTGAGAATGTTCATGCTTTGTGACAACACTCATTTTCAAGACACTTGGCCAGTTATGATTACATACTCATTTCCAGGCACAGAGCTAAAGGCAGAGATTGCAAGACACATTTGCAGCTTTCTAGACTCAAAAAGCTTAATCTGAACTTAAAAAAAGCTTTACCTGGTACATGCTTGCTATTTTAGTGCTAACATTTTGCTGTTAATTGCATGCCCGTCAAGTTGAATTTTTGATGCCAGACGCTATCTTTGATTTGCAGAACTGTTGTTGATGTTATAGGATAATAATTGTTTGAAAAGGTATAATTTTCCGTTAGCAGTTCTGACATTTTTCTGAGACAGGGTCTTTTTCTTCTCCTTTCTTTGGGGCTTTTTGTCCACTCAGTGTGATTGTGAGCTTTTTTGTTTGTTTGTTTGTTTGTTTATCCAGCATGTGTCTGAGTGCATACTTTATTTATTTATTTGCATCACACCTGGCGATGCACAGAGGTTACTCCTGGCTCATGCACTCAGGAATTACTCCTGGTGGTGCTCAGGGGACCATATGGGATGCTGGAAATCGAACCTGTGTCAGCCACGTGCAAAGCAAACGCCCTATGCCCTACCTACTGTGCTATCGCTCCAGCCCCTGAGTGCATACTTTAGCCAGCACTTAAAGTACATGTCTGTCTTTAATAGGCAGCCTGTAACTTGGAGACAGGTAGGTTCTGCACAGGAACATCTTCTTACATAATGATGTTTAAATGTAATATGTTTAAATGTAATAGCATACAGTTAGCATAGAATAAATGCTTTTTATTCATAGAATACTTTTTTTCTTTTTTTCCTTTTTGGGTCACACCCGGCAGTACACAAGGTTTACTCCTGGCTCTGCACTCAGCAATTACTCCTGGTGGTGCTCAGGGGACCATATGGGATGCTGGGCATCGAACCCAGGTTGGCCACATGCAAGGCAAACACACTGCCCACTGTGCTATCGCTCCAACCCTAGAATACATAGTTTTATTTATGACTCGTATTGCTAGATGCTGTTCTTGATGTTTTAGTTTGCCAACCCTATGTTGTTGATCATAGCAGACCCAAGAAGTTAGAGGTCTATCTGAACTAAACTGAACAAAAGGCATTTGGTTCATTAGTCTAAAAGTAATTTTAAGTGTGTAGCCAGTAGAGGGAGGTCACATAAACAGAGCCCAGTATGAGCATAATTTGTATTTGTGTTCTAAAGAGGTAACTATTAACTAATAAAATAATTATTGTGTCTATAAAGCTTTTATTACAATATTTCACTTAAATAGTAGCTCAATAAATTTGTGATTGGCTTCAGTTCAGTTTATTGCACAGAAGACATTGATTATGAAGAATACAAAACTGATTGGAATATTGAAAAACCTGGACCTGGCGGTGGGGAGATGACTCAAATGTCTGGAGCAATGCCTGTGCTGGAGTCCCAGGTCCCAGCCCCAGCCCTTACCCTTCACAGTCCTCTAAGCACCATCAGGTGTGCACTCCCCGCGGGCCCCCCTCTCCCCCCCCCACCCCCCGCCAGTATTCCTGAATATGGCCTGGGTGTATGAAAGTTTTGATAAATATTTCTGCCAGGATTATAAATACTCGTGCTCATTTATTCACTTTTACTTTTTTGTCTTTTGGGCCACACGGTGGTGCTCAGGATGTTGCTGTGCTTGGGATTAAGTCTATGGCTCCTACATGCTCTGCCTGGCAGTACTCTGGGTTTACTGGCAGTTCTCTGGGCTTACTCCTGGCTCTGTGCTCAGGTGTTAGGGAACCACCTTGCTTTGGGGGTGGGGGGATGTGTGTATAATGAGGCTTGGGGTTGAACTCAGGGCCTTGCACATCATAATAATCATGACCAGTCATTGACCTCTGTCTTCCTGGCCCTTCTCTAAAGTTTTAATGGTGAATTAATTGTTTTATTTTATTTTATTTTGCCATACTCAGTGGTGCTCAGGGATTACTCCTGGCTCTTTGCTCAGGGATCACTCCCGGAGGGCTGGGACCAAATGGTATGCTGGGGATTGAACCTGGATTGGCCACATGTAAGGCAAATATCTTACCTGTTGTACTATCTTCCTGGCCACTTTAATAATAATTTAAACACATTGAGATCAAACATTTAACAAAAGAATTTTTTCCTATGACAATTTTTTGTGCAAAAACAGGTTGTGAAAGGAATAATATTAAAAGTTTAAAAGAAATTTATTCCAAATGTCATTATTTTGGGGGTCTTTTGTATGTGTGTGTGAGAGAGAGTATGACCATGAAACTTGTTTATAAGGCTGTGCCACTCATCTGTATTTTTACATTTTACTTCAATCTTGTTTCAAGCAGCACTACTGTTTCTTGGTGAACGTGGAGATAACCCAGAGAACTGAGGAAGTTGCTAAGAAGATTGTGCTGGGATGCTTTAGGAAGAGTGAATGCTGAGGTGAATTCCAGAGGGTTTGGTTTGCCAAGAAGAAAGTGAATATCATGGATCAGAACAACAGTCTACCACCTTATGCTCAAGGCCTGTCTTCCCCTCAGGTAGGACAGAATCTATTCTGTCAGAGACTATAAAAAGAAGGAAAGGAAGTAAGCACTCTGAAAATGAACTAATCCACATATTATTTCCCCCTTTCTCTTTGTTGTTTTTAATTTGGGGGATATTCCTTACTCTGTGCGTGGGGGAGGGGTATTCTCTCTGAGGTGTGAAAAAGTTGCATGGTACCAGGGATAAACCCTGGATCCCCTATAGGCAAAGCATGTGTTCCACCTCTTGAGCTCTCTCTCTTCTTTATTGTTATCTTATTTAATTTGTTTATTTCCAGCACTATGATTTACAAACTATTATTAGTAGAATTTAATACATGAAATATTCCAGCATTACACCCTCCACCCAGGTGTCTGCCTTCCTCTACTATTGACCCAGTGTCATCCACTTCCCCCCTTCTCCCATAGTAAGCTTCCTACTGAAGATTAGTTCTCAGTTTTTGTTATCATTAGATATTGGTTATTCCCCTACTCTGTTTCTTCATATCCCAAATATGGAGAGATCATTCTGTGTCTTCCTCTTCCTCCACTCTGTACACTTTCGGGCTCCATCATGTGGCAGCAAATGCCATGATTTCATCTTTTCTTACAGTGGCATAGTTAGTATTCCATTGTGTAGATGTGCCACATTCTCTCTATCTGCTTATGTGTTCTTGGGCACTTGGGTTGTTTCCAGATTTTGGCTATTGTGAATAGTGCTGCAATAAATATAGGAGTGCCCCTATCTTATTTCTAATTTTTTATTGTTTTGGTTTTTGGGCCGTACCCAGTGGTACTCAGGGCTTCTGCTGGTTCTGCAGGGCTTCTCCTAGTTCTGTGCTCATGAGTTACTCCTGGCAGGCACCCTTTTGGTTTGGTTGCTCACACAGTTGATCATGGTTCTACCAGAGATCATGTGTGGAACCAGTGAGCACAGAGCTGATCTTTGCCTGGGACAGAATGGGAACTATGCTCTGAGCGTGCAGCAGCACTGGGGCTTAACTTAGGATCTTACCCTTCCAAGGTATATGCTTTAAGATGGTGTTTCTAAACCAGGGGCCAAATCAGGATCTTCCAAGGGAACCACAAATGAAAAGTCACATGAATGGGAGCCATCACACAGGACTTGGGGGTAAGCTGTTAAGAAGGGGTATCAGGAAAGAAGCAAGATCAGAAGGAGCCACAGTTGGGGAAGGTTGAGAAACTGCTCTCAGATCTAAACTATCTCTAGATCCCTGGATTGTGTGTGTGTGTGGGGGGGGGGGCAAGGAGGCTATGGGCCATATTCAGAGGTGCCCTGGTTACTCCAGGTAGTGTGTTGGGGACCAGGAGATTGGGATCAGCCTCATGTGAAGCAAGTACCTTCGTCATTGTACTGTCTCTCCACCCTGAATTTTTGTTTTGTTTTGCTTTTTGGGTCACACCTGGTGATACACAGGGGTTACTCCTGGCTCTGCACTCAGGAGTTACTCCTGGCGGTGCTCAGGGGACCATATGGGATGCTGGGAATCGAACCCGGGTTGGCTGCATGCAAGGCAAACACCCTACCCGCTGTGCTATCTCTCCAGCCCCTCATTTGGCTTTTATACTTTAGTGTTGGATGTTAGCATCACACGGATTATAGTGTTGCAGTACTGGAAATTGCATACCTGATGGTGCTGTGCTGGGGTTGCTTTTATGCTGGGGACTGCACTCAGAAGTTTGGGTGGCCCCTCTCTCAGTGAGCCACATTCCCATGTTTTCTATGTTTAACTTAAAAAAAAAACTAAGTTCCAACAGAAACATGTGAAAATTTACTGTACATTCTCACTAGCGAGCCTGGGGATTGTTGATCTTTTCACTTTTAACCCCATCTATTAGCCACTTAATGGATACTCATCTTTGTGGCTTTAGTCTTGGTAAATGTTTATCGGCTATATGTAGCCTCTTTTTTTTTTTTTGCTTTTTGGGTCACACCCAGCAGTGCTCAGGGGTTACTCCTGACTCTGCACTCAGGAATTACTCCTGGCGGTGCTTGGGACTATATGGGATGCTGGGAATCGAACCCAGGTCTGCCGCGTGCAAGGCAAATGCCCTACCCGCTGTGCTATTGCTCCAGCCCCCGTGTAGCTTCATTTTTAAAATGCTTTCACTAAAGTTTTTCATTTTTTCTGAAATCCATTTGTCAGTTTTTCTTTAATGGTTAATGCTTTTGTGTGTTACCTAATCTTTTTCAGTCCAAAGTCTTAAGGAATTCTATTTTGTAATTTTAGTTTGTGTTCATTTATATTTTTTAAGAGCTCTTTTGGTTTGGTATACACTTAGCATTGCTCAGGGGCTACTTCTGCCTCAATGCTTGGAAGTCAATCCTGGCAGTATTCAGGGACCCACAGGTACTGTCCGTTGAACCCATGGCATATTACCCTCTGTGTAGCCCTTAGTTTTTGCTGTAAATTTGTACCTCTCATAGTTGGTGTAATTTATTTTGGTTTTGGTTTTTGGGTCACACTTAAAGTGCTCAGGGCTCTGCTCAGGGTCTCTCCTGTAGTGCTGTAATTGCTGTGGTGCTGTTTTCATTACTGTTGCTGGTAATGTAGGTATTATTATTTTTTTTTTAATGCTTTTTGGGTCACATCCGGCGATGCACAGGGCTTACTCCTGGCTCATGCACTCAGGAATTACTCCTGGCAGTGCTTGGGGAACCATATGGGATGCTGGGAATTGAACCCGGGTCGGCTGGGCGCAAGGCAACTGCCCTACCTGCTATGCTATAGCTCCAGCCTGGTAATGTAGTTTTTGAGACAGGGAGGCTTGTTCCTATATTGGACATTTTGTGGTTCCATAGACATTTCACAGCTGTTGAAAAAGCCATCAGTACTTTTCATGGGCATTATGTTGAGTCTATGGATCGCCTTAAGAACGTCATTTTAATAACGCATTTCCTTTTGTGAATACTGAATGTATGTCTTCGATTTATTTTAGCGATGCCTTACAGTTTCAGTGTGTAGGTTCACTTCCATTGTTAGGTCTACTCCAGTTGTTGTTGTGTTGCTTTTTAGGTCACACCCAGCGATGCTCAGGGGTTACTCCTGGCTCTGCACTCAGAAATTACTCTTGGAAGTGCTTGGGGGACCATATGGGATGCTGGGGATTGAACCTGGGTCGGCCTCGTGCAAGGCAAAAACCTACCTGCTGTACTATCCCTCTGGCCCCCTCTACTCCAGTTTTTAGTGTTTTATTTATTTATTTATTTATTTTTATTTTTCTTTCTTTTCTCATAGCAGTATAGCAAAGTTAATGTGTGTCACTTTCAGATTCTACCTTACTGAACTTGTTGGTTTTATTTTTTTATTTGTTTTGCTTTTTGGGTCACACCGGTGATGCACAGGGATTACTCCTGGCTTTGCACTCAGGAATTACTCCTGGCGGTGCTCAGGGGACCATATGGGATGCTGGGAATCGAATCCGGGTCAGCTGCATGCAAAGCAAACGCCCTACCTGCTGTGCTGTCGCTCCAGTCCCCTTTTTTTCTTTATTTAAAAATTATTTAGTACTTCTCTCAGAGGGCTTTCTTACACTTGTTAGTTTTCTTGAGCAGTTTTATTATGGAGTCTAGGAGTCTATGTGCATATTACCATGGAACCTACAAATAGCTGTGATGGGTTTGGAGAGGCTCTGTGACATTATCTGAAGGCTCAACAGCCACTGCTGGTGACTGTCCATCAGTTCAGCAGTGCCAGTTTGACAGTTTGGTGTTTGGACCCAGAGAAGTGGTGTTGCAAGGCCAGCAGTTCTCAGTCGGCATGTGGTGCTGGGGATGGTACTCATGCTGGGGCCAGCAGGGCCCTGTCCAGCACTTCTCAGTCAGCATATGATACTGGGGATGGAACTCAGACCCTTACACAGAAGAGGCCAGCTCTTGCCTTCTGAGCTCTCTTTCTCTCTGGACCCAGATGGTGAGAGTTGACTTCTTATTTTCCACTTTGACTTCCTTCCATGTATTCTTGTCAATTCCTCTAGCTCCCCTTTCCAAAACTTGAAGAGAAGTGGTCTAGTTCCAAATCTTAGGGAAAACTTTCCATTATTTTCTGGTCTGTTGAAACGATTCTGTGCTTCACTTACCTTCTGCCCTTCATTGCTGTTACTGTTATGATGACTAGGGATCACTTGAATGCCTCTCTATGGTACTCACTGAGTCATGTACCCCAGTCGACCTAGGGTGGTGCCCTTCAGTTGTGCTTGCACACTGGTTGCATTGCTTGCTGTGGTGCTGGCTGAATCACATACCCCTCTCTGCTTGGATGGTACATTTTAGTTGCACTCACACACTGTGGTGGCAGTGCTCTCTGGGGTGGCCTTGGGCACTCATGCATGCGCTTGCCAGGGAGTCAGACACTGTCTGCAGTGCTCACTTAGCCATTTAGTGTCTGGATTCCAAACAGCAGAGCCCTGAGGCCAGGACCATGCTCAAAGCATTCACACAGCATTGGGTGTTAATCTCATGGCCTTCTATTTGGAGAGCATCCACTTTTGTCACAGAGCTACCTGCAAGCCTGTGATCTGGTGATTTTTATCTTTGGCCTGAGCCATAGCACAGCAGTATAGAGCCTGTCTTACATGCATGTCACCTGGATTTGATCCCCAGCATCCCATATGGTCCTCTGATCATTCCCCACCAGGAATGATCGCTGAGTGCAGAACAAGGAGTAACTCCTGAGCACTGCTAGGTATGACCCCCCAAAGTAAATCAGGTTGATGAGAGTTAGTACATTGATTTGTTTATGTTGAACCAACCTTGTGTCTCTAGGTTGAATCCTACTTTATCATGACAAAAAATGCCTTGATGTTACTACGTCCAGTTTGCCAAGAATTTCTTGAGAATTTTTTGCATCAGAGGTCATTGCTGTATAAATTTTACTTTCTTTAGTTGCTGTTTTTTTCTCTCTTGAGATTTAGGGCTATAGGGTTGGAGGGATAGCACAGCAGGTAGGGCGTTTGCCTCGCACGCAGCCGACCCGGGCTCGATTCCTCCGCCCTTCTCAGAGAGCCTGGCAAGCTACCAAGAGTATCTCGCCCACACGGCAGAGCCTGGCAAGCTACCCATAGCGTGTTCAATATGCCAAATACAGGTATGACAAGTCTCACAATGGAGATGTTACTGGAGCCTGCTCAAGCAAATTGATGAACAACGGGAGCACAGTGCTACAGTACTACTGGCCTCAAAATGTATTTGGGAGTGTTCTCCTTTGATTTTTCCCGGGACAGTGACAAGGACAGATACTCTTTTTTTGAGAGGTTTTTTAAAAAATTTATTTTGGCTTGTGGTCTTAATTTCCAACTCCTTCTTTGACAGTCTTGTAAAATTTATGGGCAAAGCCATCTGGTTCTGGGCTTTTGTTCTGCGGGAAACTTTTGATTATTGTTTTTGTTGTCTATTCAAGGTTTTTATTTCTTCTTGGTTGAGTTTTTTAAGTTTCTGATTTTCAAGGTCTGCTCACTCTTTTAGGTTGTTCAGTTTGTTTTGCATATAGTTATAGTTATTCTTGCAAACAGTGTATACTATAGTAATAAAAAGAATCATAGGTAGTTTCTTTCCCCTTGCATTTCTGTAACATAAGTTATAACTATCTTTCATTCTGATGTTTTTTAAGCAATGTTTTAAAAACTGTCATTTTTGGTGAGCCTAGCAAGGTATTAAAGTCAATTCTATTGATCCTTTCACAGAACCAGCTTAAACTTGGTTTAACTGATTTTTTGTGTCTTTAGTTTCTGTTTCATTTATTTCTCCATGGGTGTGGTGTGGGGTGTGTGTGTGTGTGTGTGTGTGTGTGTGTGTGTGTGTGTTAGAGAATATACCCAGGATCTCACATCTTTCTCTTTATTTTTTCTTATTTTCTAATTTCTGCCTTTCTAATCTTCCTTTTCTATTTTCTAAATATTCTATTTTCTTTCAGGGTAAGGTTAGAATAATTATTTGAGACTTAAATCTGATTCCCTGATGTGGTCTGTATAGTGTTGAGCTTCCCTCTTAGTAACATAAAGTCTTATAGTTCTTTTTGTTGTGCATCATATCATTTTTCATTTCTTGCTTGATACCTGACCCAAAAGGTACTCAGAAGAATGTTGTTTAGGCATTACATGTTTTGTTTTGTTTTTCGATATTCAAATTAAAAAAAATTTCTAGTCTCATACCATTGTGATCAAAAATAATGCTTGCTGAGACTTTCGTCTTTACAATTATTGATTTATTTTGGAGTGTCAGCATACTCAGCAGTACTCAGGAACTATTCCTGGGTCTGGGTCTATTCTCTGAAGCCATGCCTTGAAGTGCTGGGGGACCGTATATGGTGCCAAGATTCAAACACTGGTTCACATGCAGGGTAGATGCCTTAATCTTCATACTTTCTCTGTGAACTCTTTTCATATCTATTAAGTGATTAAGTGAAGACCTCTTTTTCTCTTATACTATATGACCTATCCTTCTGAAAATTCTGTTATGTGGATGCTTTTCTTGGTGATTATCTTCATTTTTTCCCCTTCTTAATGTCTGTGCTACAGATTTTTGTTTTGCAGTTACCATAAAAAGTTTGCCATACTTTCTTTATCTAAAGAAGTTTTTTTTTGTGTGCCGGTATCCAATTCTTATTTGACTGTACTAGCTCTTTCCTTTCTATATTCCTTTTTGTTTCTCTTAACTGAAGATTTTGTGATTTATTGTTTGTTTTTGAGGGCCATGCTTGGGTGTTACTTCTTCTGTACTCAGGAATCATTCCAGGTGGGCTCTGGGGACCTTATGTGCACTGGGGATAGAACCTAGGCCTGCCATTTGCAAGGCAAGTGCCCTACCTGCTGTACTATTGCTGTGACCCCTAGAGTTGGGGATTTAACCTGGGTTTGACTACATGTGAGGCCAGTGCCTTACCTTCCATAATATGTGAGATATTTGGCCACACTTTGTGAGATTGAGTCTTAACAGTTATATTCAGTGTGCTTATCATTCTCAGCATCTGTTTGGAACATTTTAGTTTCTCCTTGGTGAAGCCCTTTGTCAGCTCTTGCTTTGCTTTGCAGAATTTGGTATTTTTTTTGCAGTGGTTGTCCCAGGATTTTCCAGTGTATGCATTTGGGTTAGCTTCTGTTGTGCTGCAGGGGCACTGTGGCAGTTCTGTCAGAATTGTTTGTTTCTGTGGCCACAAGGAGATTGAAAACATAATCATTTGATCTTGGGGGGTATACATGGTCAGGGAGCGGCCTCTTGTCTGAGCGGTTATCCCAGCCCGAATCCCAGGATTCAGTTTTGTCTGTGGTAACTGATGTGCACTGTCCCACCAGGGAAGCTCCTCGCTAATTTACTTGCTTGTCCTGTTCTGGTTGCTCTGTGTTGAGGTATCTTCAGGGTCCCAGGCTGGCCAGACTGTGAGCAGGTGAAAGATTGTCCCTGATTCTGGCAGGCTTCGTTGCCAGTGTCTATTTCACTGTTTCATCATTCTCTGGTACAGGAATCTGAAAGTTTTTTTCCTAGCCAGTATTTTTGTTGGAACAAATTATGGGACACAATAATGCCTGAGCTGTTAGGGCTATGGTGTCTATTTGGCTCCCCATCTCACAGACTCTTTCTGCCACCAAGTTGGGGAAAAAATGTAACACTCCGTTTTAATGGGGGTATTAATGCAGTCATTTTATTGGCAATGACTGTCTCTGTGATCAGCACTATCGGTAAAATAATTCTCTTTTTAGTGCATGTTGGGCTGGAGCGACAGCACAGTGGGTAAGGCGTCTGCCTTGCGTGCGGCTGACATGGCCGACCCGGGTTCGATTCCTCCGCCCCTCTCAGAGAGCCCGGCAAGCTACCAAGAGTATCTCGCCCCACGGCAGAGCCTGGCAAGCTCCCCGTGACGTATTCGATATGCCAAACACAGTAACGACAAGTCTCAAAATGGAGATGTTACTGGGTCTGCTCGAGCAAATCGATGAACAACAGGAGGGCAGTGCAGTGCAATGCAGTGCAATGGGGGTGTTAGGAGACAAAGTCGGGGAATAGGAGAAGGAGGGTGAGAAAGTGATAGAGAGTAACGCATTCAAGAGAGAATGTGGGCTTCTCCAAATGCAGAACAAGCCAAGTGACTTTGTTTTAGATTGTTTTTAGGCCACACTGCTTAGGGCTTACTCCTGACTCTGCACTCAGGGATCACTCCTCTCAGACTTGGGGGACCATATATGGTGTCGGGGATTGAACCCAGGTCGGCTGTATGCAAGTTGCAAGGCAGGCACCCTCCCCACTGTAGTATAGCTCCAGCCTCATATGAATAGTGACTTTTTTGTGCCCTCTGCTTACCTGAGAATTAATTAAAAGTATGGATCTTTCCACATTAAAACATTGGGCATACTATTAAAAATTCCAACTTTGAATTTTTATTTCAATCAGGAATATGATTGAATGGGTCTCAGGAAAATTTGTCATCTTAGTTGAAATACTAATGAATCTATTGTTTTGGACAGGTCATTTAATTGTTCAGTTTTAGTTTTCTTACCTTTTATGTGGGTAAAGCAATTTTTATTTTCTTTATCAAGTGGTACTATAGTATCAAATCGGATTAAGCGGAACAGTGTCAGAAGTTTAGAAAATGTATGGAAAAGTATGTTGAAATTATTCTGATACATTGCATTTGTTTATTTCTTTTTATCTATTAATTTACTTTGTGGTGCTAGTGACCAAATCCAGGACTTCACACATGCCAGGGATGAGCTCTACCATGGAACCACTCTCCTAATTCTAGATTTTGTTAATTTAAATGTTCTTGAAATTCAACAATTTTTCTTTTATTATTTAAAATATTTTTTTGTTTTGTTTTTTGGTCCACATCTGGCAGTGCTTAGCATTCCTGGCTCTTTGCTCAGGGATCACTCTGGGCAGGGCTCGAGGGACCAAGTGAGATCCCGGGGATGAAATCTGGGTTGGCCATGTACAAGGCAAGTTGTCTACTTGCTATACTGCCACTCTGGCCCCAATTAATCTTTTTAATAGTATTCTAATAGTTGCCTTTAATTCTAGCTCATACTTAAATTTTCTATGTGCTTAAATTTTCATTGTGTTGAATGCTACTAAGTGACCCTCTGGTAACCATCTAATTTCATCCAAACCAGGACAACTAGTTCGAGAATTATTTGGGTACTTATGTAGATTACAATGTTAATGTAATGATTTAAACATTAATATTTGATAGTAGATAGATGGGAATATATAGTCAGTATAGTTATTGCTTATATTCTTTCTGACAGTCTTAGAGTGTATGTATAAAGGAATGTATAGTAGATGGAGGGTCTTCCTCAAGTTTCCACATGTAATAAGTACAGAGCTGAATTTCATACATGCATTTTTTTTTTTCCTTTTTGGGTCATACCCAGCAATGCTCAGGGTTTACTCCTGACTCTGCACTCAGAAATTACTGCTGGTGGTGCTTGTGGGACCGTATGGGATACCAGGGATTGAACCTAGGTCGGCCATGTGCAAGGCAAATGCCCTACCTGCTGTACTATTGCTCTGGCCCCTCATATCTACATCTTAACTCTAAGGACTTATCTACTAGGTTACAGTGAAGAAGAATGTGGTATGTACAAGAACTTCAGGTGCCTCCTAATGAATGCTGAATGGTTCCTGTCATCCTTGGGTTCTGTCTCTCTCTGTACATGACACCCGTTCCTCTCACAAATCTTCAGCACCAGCAATCCTAACCCATTGTTCTCTTGGCTTTCCACAGGGTGCCATGACTCCGGGACTCCCCATCTTTAGTCCAATGATGCCATATGGCACGGGGCTGACCCCACAGCCTATTCAGAGCACCAATAGCCTTTCCTTGTTAGAGGAACAGCAACGGCAGCAGCAGCAGCAGCAGCAACAGCAGCAGCAGCAGCAGCAGGCTGCAGTGGCAGCGGCTCAGTCCACATCCCAGCAGGCAGCGCAGGGTCCATCGGGCCAGACACCACAGCTCTTCCACTCACAGACTCTTACAACCGCCCCCTTGCCGGGCACCACCCCCTTGTACCCGTCTCCCATGACACCTATGACCCCCATCACCCCTGCCACGCCAGCCTCCGAGAGCTCTGGGATCGTGCCGCAGCTGCAGTAAGTACTCTAGAGTACCCTCCTCTCCCTCCCCCTGGAGGGCTCTCCTGCAGCTTTGTTGCTTTCCTCTGCCATCCTTCCTGATGCAGTGTGGGTCGAGGAGGGCAGCACCTATGATAGCTCTGTGTCAGCACCTGCTTCAGGCTATCTTAGTGAGTTGGTGCCTTCTGTGAAAGACTAACATCTTCAGACATCTTAAGACATTTACAACTTACTGAATCAAGCCTCAACCCTGGGGCACTTCAGGTTTCCAGGAAGATTCATTTCTGCATCACAGAATCAATGCAGTTCATAGTGGGTCTTGTTTTTCTTCACTAGTTGGTATAAGGGTTGCTTTTTAGAACATAGACTTAAGGCAGTTGTTATTACCTTAAACAAGATTTTTCAGCTTAATCAAAGTGGATTCTATGACAAAATGAGGAGGAGAGGCTGGGAAAAATAATTCCCTGAAAAAAAGACAAGTATTATCAATGAGAGTATAGTTTTTGCTTTTAGTACACTAGTAACACTGTCCTCCTATTGTCCATCGATTTGCTTGAGTGTGGATAACATCTCACAACAAATTGTGAGACTCGTTGTTACTGTTTTTGGCATATCACATAAAGTTAGCTTGCCAGGCTCTGCCGTGCCGGTGGGATACTCTCAGTAGCTTGCCAGGTTCTCCGAGAGGGGTGGCTGTGTGCAAGGCAAACGCTCTACCTGCTGTGCTATCGCTCCAGCCTAGTACACTAGTAGTCAAATTGAAAGACTGCTTGCAGTAACTGCGTTGTCTCAGTTTTCTTACACGTTATCATTGATTATGTATACAACGAAGCATTTAGTCACGGAGCCTGTCTTTTCTGAAGACCTGTGTCTTGCTTTGGGTCTGTTTGGATTTGTTTCAGTTGAAAAAGAAAATTTAATGATTTCAGAGAAGCACTTGTTAGTTCACCTTTATGAATACTTTGTCCCTCTTGTCTTACACCCTTGTCTGGCTTATGTGGGCGTTCAAGTTTACATCTTCCATTTAAAGTAAAAATAATAACTGGTCTGGGTGGTATGTTTGTATCTCACTAGCTCCTTAATCTTTTTTGTTCCCACAGAAAAATGCCAGCCAGATGTAGTATTCTATTTCCACTGTCTATTAAGGGGTTATAACTAGTGGGAGTCAGTGGCTTTTTAAAAACGAGAGTATGTATTTACTCAATCAAAATTTGTAAAATCACATTGAAGGAGAACTCTGGGGAGATGGCCGAGTAGGACTCTGCTGCCTACCTCCGCCCCCCACCCTCATCCCCCACACCCAGACAGTAGCACCACTGTGTGTACTGGGCTGGCAGTCTGGAGTGTGGGAGAGATTCACAGCCTTTGGGGTAGAAGTGCCGATGGTTAGTTGCTCCTTTTGGGCAGTGTCAGCCTTTGGCCCAGTATTAGCTACCTATCACTGACACCCAGACCCTTGGCAGTCAGCTTTGCAAATGGGCCTGGGACATCATACAGGTTGGGAAACCAGGGTGGGAGAAGCTCTGTCCAACAAAGGATCAGGTAGCTACTCTCTGGTTACACAAGGTGCAGACCAGGAGGCAGCACCAGTTGTTGCTCAACCTTCCCACTTACTCTCCTTTTGCTGAAGAAAAAAAAATCCCAAAAAAAGGCATTTTATTTATCCCCGTATCAATTTTTGCCAATGTGGGAACCAAAGACTAGGACATTACAAATTAATTGCATATTTGGAGGATATTGAAAATGACTGCACAGAGAAGCTCAGCACTTTGTCCCTGAACAAGACTGAACAACAGAAGCATTTAAGAAAGACTTTAAAAGCACTGTCCTAACTAAAGAAGCTCAAAGGACTAAAGGTGTGGAGAATGTTACGGAACCAATGTCTAAACAGATGTGAGTATCAGTAAAGATTAGAAAGCCTAAAAAGAAATGAGTTAGGTTTGTGATACGGGACACACCGTATATAAAGATAAAACTTTATGACTTCAGGAACCAAAAGATTGCAAAGGAACATTTTTTTTTTGTATATTGAATTTAATACTGCTAAAAACTCAGTTATAGAGTATTTGAACTTTAGGATATTTTTTGTTACCCTCCCTTGGTAATTAGAAGGAAAATAACAATGAATAAATTGCGCTGCACTGTCCTCCCGTTGTTCATCGATTTGCTCGAACGGGCCCAGTAACGTCTCCATCATGAGACTTGTTGTTACTGTGTTTGGCATATTGAATATGTCATGGGTAGCTTAATGAGTAAATTAAAAACAAAATTAAATATTTCACTATGAAAAACTAAATTAAACACCAAAAAGATGGTAGTGTAGATAAAAAGAATTAAGGAGACTATGGAGAATGTAGAAAGCAAATAACACAATGATAGATGTTCTTGTTTATTATGACTATTTTAAATGTGCATTGAGTAAATTCCAAATAAGGGCCAGAAGGAAGGCAGTTGCCTTGTATGTGGCTGCAGCTGCTGTGAACCTGGTTTGAATTCACAGCACCACATTGGTCCTCAAGCCAGGAATAGTTGGGGAGCACTGACAGGTGTGGCTTCCTGTCCACTCCCCAATAAAAGTAAAACTCCAAATAAAAGACTAATTGGAAGATCTAAAAACACAATATAGAATTAGCAGAAGATTGCTTGATCTGATGTGTGAGGCCCTGGGTTCAGTTCCAAGCACCATGGTGTAGGGTTGGGAGGTGGGTGGCAACTGATATAGCAAGAACCAGGGAGATAGGTCGGTGGGGTGGAGTGTGTGCTTCACACGCAGAAACCCTGGGTTCTAAATACTCCTCCCAGAAAGCTTTTCTAAAATACGGAATTAGAAAAGTAACAGTATGCAAGTGAACTCAGAAATCAGGGACTAGAGAGAGAGATGAGCAGTGTGAGCGCAGAGGCTCTCCTCAGTACCGCCTGATTCTTGACGCCACCAGACTGGAATGCCACAGGTCTCACTGGTGCCAGAAACAATCAGCTACATTTTTGTACACAAACAGCTTGAAAGGAAGTTATGAAGACACATCCCTTCACAGTAAAATCAAGGGTGAATAAAATCCTTCGGAATCAACCAAGGGGTTCAAAGTCTTCTGTAATAACTACAAAATTTGTGGGAAGAGACTTAGGAAGATACAATAAGTGGAAGCACTCCAGTGTTCATGGTTTGGAAGACAGTATTACTTAAATAACCTACATAGTCATTGAAGTTCCTACTAAAATCTCAACGATAGATCATGCAGAAATAGAAGAATTTTCATAGAATATCTGAATCAGAATGTAGTAATGGGGTAAGAACAGACATAGAAAACTGGTAAGGATTACATGTGGGACTCCTGGGTTCAGTCATAGTACTACATGGTCCCCTAGAGCACCAGTTGTGAACCAAAAACAACAACTGCAAAAGAGAATAGACACAGGGGCTGGAGAGATAGCACAGTGGGTAGGGCGTTTGCCTTGCACGTGGCCGACCCGGGTTTGATTCCCAGCATATCATATGGTCCCCTGAGCACCGCCAGGAGTGACTCCTGAGTGCAGAGCCAGGAGTGGCCCCTGTGCATCGCCAGGTGTGACCCAAAAAGCAAAAAAAAAAAAAAAAAAGAATAGACACAGACCAATAGAAATGTATTAAGAAGACCCATAACCAACCCTCAAAAATGGGCCATGATTTTTGACAAGTGTCAACATCATCCTGTGGGTGGGTGGGAGGGTAGGGCTCTTATAACATGATGCTGGGAAAACTAGATATTAAATAGATATTTAAAATCACAGATAAGAATTAACTCCAAAAACTGAGAGGAAAACAGGCACAGTTTCATAATATTGCAAAGTTCGCCTGGATAAAATACCACTCACAGAGGTCACAAAAGGAAAGATAGGCAAATAGGCCTTATTAAAAACTGTGAAAACACTGTATCAGAATACACTATCCACAGAGTTAAAAGGCAACCAATCCACAAGTAGGAAGAAAATATTTGGACATTACATGTGATAGAGGATCAATTATGGGGCTGGAGCCATAGCACAACGGGTAGGGAATTTGCCTTGCACGTGGCTGACCCGGGTTCGATTCCTAGCATCCCATATGGTCCCCCGAGCACCGCCAGGAGTAATTCCTGAGTGAAGAACCAGGAGTAAACCCTGTGTATTGCCAGATGTGGCACAAAAAAAAAAAAAAAGGATCAATTATTTGGGATACGTCGAGATCTCCTAAAATATAAAACTCCAAAACAGGTAATGGCTATAATCTGACATTTCTTCAAAGAAACTCCGTGAGAACACAAGAGAAGTTGCTCAACATCACTACTTATTGTCAAATGATAGAACCATAATGAAGGTTCACCTAAACCCATTTGGATCACTAGTGTATTACGAAAAAAAAAGGAGGAAGTGTTGGGAAGGACGTAGATAAGTAGAAACTGTTATGCTCTTTTGATAAAAATGCAAAATGGCACAAATTTTGTGTGCATTTACAATGATACATTTCTAAGTGGAAAAAACAGTATAGAAAATTCTCGAAAGTTAAAAGTAGGATCATCAGGGGCCTAGAGTGATAATACAGCAGGCAGGGCACGTACTTTGCACACAGTTGATCTGTGGTTGGTCTCTGGCTCCCCATATGGTCCCCTGAATCCAACCTGCCAGGGGTAAGCCCTGAGCACTGCTGGGTGTGATTCCCCCCCCCCAAAAAAAAAGATCATTATATGTCCTGTAATTTTTCTTCTGGGTGTATTCCCAAAGAATTGAAAGCAGAATTCCAAATCATTGGCACTCCCACGGTTACAGCTGTCTTAATTAAAATGATTCAAGTGTGGAAGCAACCCAAGTGTCCAACAATAGATGCTAGGGTAAACAAAAAAAAGTATGACCATATAGTGAAATAATTCAGCCTAAAAAATGAGGAAACTACAGTCTGCTATAACCTGAGAACTCTGAGATCATTAAAAAAATAAAAACTTTGATTCTACTTACTTGGGATACTTAGGAGTAGCCAAAATCTTATAGACAGGAAGTGTAATGGTGGTTTCCAGGGATTGGGAGGAGCAGGAAAAAAGGAATTACTATTTTAATGTCAATTTTGAGTTTTGCAACATGAAAAGACAGTTGCTATGATGACTACACAACATTATTTAATACCATTGAACTGTACACTTAAATGGTTAAGGTGGGGGTCAGAGTGAGATAACACAAGCGAGTAGGGTGCTTGCTTTGCTTATGGCTGACCTGGATTCTATCTTCAGCACAACATATGGTCCCTCAGGCCCTTCAGGAGTGATCCCTGAGTGCAGAGCCAGTTTTCAACCCTGAGCACTGCTGGTTGTGGCCCCAAGCACCCATTTCTCCCCCCAAAAAGGTTAAGATGAAGGCCAGAGATAGTACTGTTAGTAGGGCATTTGCTTGCACTTGTCTGATTTAGGTTTGATCCCTTACCACTCTGTATGCTACTTCAAACCCTCCAAAACTGAGTAAGCCCAGTGCATTCCCAGGTGTAGCTCAAAACCAAAAAAAGGTTAAGATGATAAATTGTGCTAATGTGTATTTTGTTGTATATTTTAATCTAATTTCTAAAAATAATAGATGTATTTGTGATATGTGCACCAAAATTAGATTCATTTTGTAGGTGAGCAAATGTTGAAGACAGGTGTGCATATGAAAGTGAATGCATTTATTCCGTTGATTATCCTGACTAGCTTTAAAATTGTTTATTAAGAGAGAGAGAACGCCATCCTCTTTCAACCAGATTATGAGCCATCAAGGTTTTTTTTTTTTTCCCTTTTTTTCATTTTGGGTCACACCCGATTGGTGGTGCTCAGGGACCATATGGAGTGCTGGGAATCAAACCCAGGTCTGCGCATGCAAGGCAAACGCCCTACCTGCTGTGCTATCGCTCCAGCCCCAACCATCAAGTTTTTAAAAGTACTTTTGAAATTGTGAGATTTTTAGTCGGCAGCATAAGAAAAAGAAGGGTCGGGGCTGGAGCGATAGCACAGCGAGTAGGGTGTTTGCCTTGCACGCGGCGGACCTGGGTTCGATTTCCAGCATCCCATATGGTTACCTGAGCACCTCCAAGAGTAATTCCTGAGTGCAGGGCCAGGAGTAACCCCTGTGCATTGCCGGGTGTGACCCAAAAAGCAAAAAAGCAACAAAATAAAGAAAAAGAAAAAGTAGGGTCGGAGAAATAGGGTGCCTTGGGCAAGGAGGCACTTGCCTTGCTTGCGGCAGACTTGGATTCACTCCTGTCACACATACCGGAGTAAGGCCTGAGTATAGCCAGGTTGGCCCTAAAACCAAAACCTAAAATTCTAATTTACTCTCTCTTCTCCCCCCATCCCCCAAAGAAAAAAGAAAAAGAAGTACCAGTGAACCAGAACCAATTTGAGTCTGGAATCAGTATTCATAGGACGACTCAGTTTCAGTTCCATATACAATGATGTACAAGTGGGCTAATTTATTGCCTGTTTTAAGTATGCACCTTCAAAACCAGAAAAACTTAAAAGTTGTTTTCCTTTATCAATTGTTACTAAATATTAATGAAAAGGGGTGCTGGACCCAGATAAAATGGTGTAGCATCTGTTTCTTTTGATTTACTGAGTCTTAGAAGGAAAAACAAATTTTTTTCTTTTGTCACAGAAACTTAATATTCAGTCTTCTAAATATACTTCTGAGAGAGCTGAGCAAAACATGCTTGCTTATTTTCTTCATAGGGTTTTCTTAGGGTCGTTGTGGTTGTGTGCTATTTTAGAGCTCCTGGATGTGAGGAAAGGCTAAGAAGGATGAGGGTCAAGATAGTCCCCAATTCCATGCCTGTCCATCCCTCCCCCTTAGGGGTCAAGTGCCTCCCCCTATCCCCCACTGAAGCCTCAGTCTGGTCATCTGAAAATGGACATCTTAGTTGGGGTTGTTATCAACTGAATTCAGTAACAGGGATTAAGTTCATAGTGTTTTATATTAAAATAATCTATGTAAAAATTCTCACCATCGTGTGTTGTACTTGTTACATGACTGTCAGCAAATTTTTAAAAATTCTAATTGAACTAATTTGTTAATTTAATGAAATTAACTAGTCCTAGTGAGTCACAATCCATCGTCCTGTAAAAGTTAAATAATTGTGTTTTCTTTTCAAATTTTTTGCAGAAATATTGTATCCACAGTGAATCTTGGTTGTAAGCTTGACCTAAAGACCATTGCACTTCGTGCCCGAAATGCTGAATATAATCCCAAGGTCAGAGCAATTTTAATGTGTTTCAACCTGTATGATAAAACAGGAATTTACTTTGAAAGGTCCCATTTCAAAAGTTCATTCATGCCTGTTTGTTGACATCAACGAGATGAGGATTTAAGTGAGAATGTGTATCATTTTTGAGTATCTGTCTTAGAGAGGCCTTAAAGATATGACTCTAGTAAGTAAACTAAATTTAGCCTTTGGTGAGTGGAGATCCTGTGAAACTAGGGAGAAGAATATATAGTAGAGACCCATTTCTATTTTGAAAAGTGTAGAAGATTGACATGCTCTCTAGAATTTACTTCAAAATTATCAGTTAGACAATTGTAAAAGTACCAAGTGCACAAAAATAAAAACACATTAGCTAGTTGTTCATTGTCATTGTCACTGTCCTCCCGTTGTTCATCGATTTGCTCAAGTGGGCCCAGTAACGTTTCCATTGTGAAACTTCTTGTTACTGTGTTTGGCAAATTGAATACATCACGGGTAGCTTGCCAGGCTTTGCCGTGCGGGCGAGATACTTTCGGTAGCTTGCCGGGCTCTCCGGGAGGGGCAGAGGAATCGAACCCGGGTTGGCTGGGTCGGCCGTATGCAAGACAAACGCCCTACCCGTTGTGCTATCGCTGCTCCAGCTAGTTGTTACTGTTGGAAAATTAAAAGTTTACTTAATTTTTTTTTTGTAGAGAACAGGGAGATAGAATAGGGATTAAGGTGCTTGCCTTGCATGTGTCTGACCCTGTTTCTGACCCCAGCATTGTATGTGGTTCTCTAAGCCCTGCCAGGTGTGAATTCTGAATAGAGTCAGGAGTAAGCCATGAGCACCTGAGTGTGCACTGCCACTGTTCTTTCCCACTCTCACCCCAGAAAAAATAAAATTTCTCTTTTTTTGGTAATAAAAAAGCCTAGTTGGAGCAATGTCTACAAGGTTTCTGGATGTGATTATTTTTTTGTTTTGTTTTGTTTTGGGTGGTGGTGCCAGAGATTGAGTCTGGGGCCTCATTTGCTAGCCAGGTATTTTATTGTTGAGCCAAATTCCCAGCCATCAAAATTCTGTATGTTTTCTTTTTTTTGTTCAGTATTAGCACCTGTATCTGAGTCCTGTCAGGCTAGCTATTTCTCTTATGCTGCTTCTCACAGCTCCCTTGGATGAAGTGCCATGTCTGCTACCCATACGGATCTTGCCTTTGCTCACATACCTTTAAGTCATCTTGAAGAAGCAGCTCAATACCAGCATCTAAGCAACTGTTAGGTGGTGGAGAGGAAAAAAGGAGAATGGACTTAGGTGTCCTAATAAAGTGCAGAGAAATTCACATCCAGTCTTTTTATCCAGTTTTTTAAATTTATTCTTATACTTGCCCAGGGGAATTAAGTCCTAAGCTTTGTCAATTTTAGGAACCAACTCTTTTTCCTCCCAAGGTTTTTTTTTTTTGTTGTTGTTGTTGTTTATGTAGGAGTACTGCTATTTATTCAGCCACTGATTCAATCAGCTGATTGAATTGGGCATGAACTCCACCTTACTTTTTTTTTTTCATTTTTTATAATTTTATTTATTGAGCAGTTACAAAGCTTTCAGGTCTAAGTCTCGGTCATACAATGAACCTGTACCTTCACCAGTGCCAATTCTCCACCCTCCAAAACCCTAGTATACCCCCATCCCACACCCTCCCCTACCTATGGGGCAGATGATTTCCACTTTACTCTCTCTCTACTTTGATCACATTCATTATTTTGACACCAGACCCACCATTATTATTTGGGATTTTACCCCAACACTCAGATCTGCCGAAAAAGCAACAAGAGACAATTTGTTTTCTATTGCTGGTTATGAATAACATATGATGTCATGTGGCTGCAGTAGTGTTAGTGCGATTTTGACATTCCGAAATTTTAACACTTAAATCTGGAGGGGTTTCTGCCAAAACATGCTGGGTTCCGAGATTTGTTCCTCAGTCTCTGGGATCATGGCCATTAAGCAGTTTGATCAGGAGCCAGATAGGCCGTTCCTGGGTGGCGACTCGGGATCTCATTGGGACAGGGAGGAGCGGGCCAGCTACACCCCCATCCCGTGAGGCCCCGTGTGTCTCGTCTCTGAGGGCCCAAACTTGACTGCCCAATGGCCTCTGGATGATGGCAGCCACTGAGCCAACTAGGGGGAACAGATGGAGGGACAACACCCTTTCCTCCCTGGGGTGGCCCAGTGACAGTAACCTACTGTGGGGTCCAGATGCATTTCGCCCACTGGGTTCCGAGATTTGTTTCTGAGTCTCTGGGATCATGGCCGTTACGCAGCTTGATCAGGAGCCAGAAAGGCCTGGGCGATGACTCTGGGTCTCGTTGGGGTGGGGAGGAAAGGGCCGGCTCCACCCCCATCCTGTGAGGCCCCACTTGTCTCATCACTGAGGGCCCAAACCTGACTGTCCAATGGCCTCTGGAGGATAGCAGCCACCGAGCCACCTAGGGGGAACAGATGGAGGGTACCCTTTCCTCCCCTGTTCCCCTAGTTTTTAACTATATTTGAAATGTGTGAGATGTGTAAGGGGCCAGAGAGATATATAGGGGTTAAGGCAACTTGCCTTGCATGTAACCAAACCCAGTTTATTTCCTGGCACTGCTGTATGTTTTCCTGCGTACCATTGGTGTCACCCCAAAACCGAGGGAGCAAAAATATTGGTGGTTGTACAGATAGTATTTAGTTCTCCAGAAAGTATTTGAGGATAGTTTGATTGTTTGACACTGTTACAGCCAATACATACTTAACAGTTTGTTGGGTGAGTTATTTCTTTTGTCTTTTAAGCCATGCTGGAGTCACAAATGATAGTTTGGGAAATAGCTAGCCAGGGTAGAAATAATCATGCAGTAAAATCCATATGTACTTTGCCATTGAGCTACATCCCTAGCTCTCAGGGGTTTTTTTTGATTAAGTGGTTTGTGTGATCATGTGACCGTATAGGGTGTTAGTTGGCCAGTACTTTACATGGTCAGTCAATACCCAGGTTTTATTTGCAGGGGGATATTGTAAGTTCTCAGGCATAGGGTGAGTATTTGTGGGGATTTTAAGGTATGAAGAACTAAGAATTTAAGCCAAGGAAATTTAGACCAAGGGAAAAAGAATTCCTTGGCGGGGGGGGCGTGGGGGGGTGGGGGGGGTGGGAACTCCTGTTTAGCTTTGGCTTTTTCTTTTTGGGGCACACACTGTTGTTCAGGGTTTGAACCCAACTTCAGTCCCAAGAACCACCTTGGGTTTGTTTTGGGGGCACTCCCAGCTTCGGGATTGCTTCTGGTGTTGAAGCATTCTCTTTTTTTTTTTTTTTTGTGGGGCATGGCCACTCCTGGTGATGCTCAGGGAGGAGTTTTTCCTGGCAGGCTTAGGGGACCATATGAGGTGCCGGGGACCGAACCCAGGTCGACCACGTGCAAGGAAAGCGCTCCCATTGTGTTATTGCTCTGGCCCCACACATTGACTTTAACAAAGGAAAAGAGACATATTTACAAACCATTATTACACATACCTAAATTCTTTGAACTCTAATCTGAGTGGGGTTCTAGAGTTTTGCTCTCCATTACTTTTCCCTGGCTTATAATTTTTAAAGTAATTTTGTTTCTGTTTTAGGAGGTGCCCTCCTTAGTGGGGCTGGGAGCCACCAGAGCTATACCAGGCAGTGCCCTGGAGGCCTTATAGGACCATGATCAAAACCCAGGGTCTAGTAGATGTCAGACATGTGCTCCAGCCCCCAGCTCCCTAGCCCTAGTAATCAAATATTTGAATTGCATTTCTCAACAACCCTTTGAGCTTCTCAGAGAAATTTTCCCACCAGTATTTTTGTAGTCTAGATGATTGCACATATTTTCCTTTGACAGGTGATGGGAAGTGGTTTTTTTTTTTTTAATGTGTCTATGTGAACACACAGTGTACTCTTTCATAAGTATTAAAATTTATAGGTAATTTTGAATGATTCCAAATAATTTTGAGATTTCTGAATAAAGATAAAAGATGATGGTTACATTTTTGCTGGCATCCTCAACTAAAAAGAAGAAAGATTAGATATTTTTGTGGTCAATAGTGGCAAAGCCGGTTAAGAGCTACTATTTGCACAGGTTAGGGAAGCCACTTTTGTTAGAACATGTTATGATTTTGGGGTTTTTTTTTTTTTTTTGAGGGCCACACTGGCAGTGTTCAGGGCAGATCCTGACTTGGCACTCAAGAGTCACTTGTGGCATGAGGCCCAAGGAACCATATGGGGTGTGAGGGATTGAATTTGGGTTGACTGTATGCAAAGCAAGTGCCCTGCCCCCTATACTATGTCTCCAGCCTCAAATGTGCTATAACTTCAAAAGTGTGAGGTCCTCTAATAAGTTACTAACTTGTTTCTAATGTTTTATTTGGAGGTAATTTTCAGAGATTAAATTTTTTTACTTATATAATGACACCAATCTCCAAAGTTTGTCTACTGTTAAGGATGCTTATTCATGGCTCTCTCAAAACAATTCTTAGTAGTATAATAACATTTAGAAGTTTCACTATATCAGTATTAAATATACTTCAAGTATTTAAAATGTATCATTAGTAAAACATCAGTCAGAAAGAGGCCATTTAATTTATTTGGTTTGTGGGCCACACCCGGTGATGCTCAGGGGTTACTTCTGGCTCTGTGTTTAGGAATCACTGTTGGCAGTACTTAGGGCACCATTTGGAGTCCCAGAGTCCCGAATTGAACCCAGGTTGGCAATTTGCAAGGCAAATGCCCTACCGGCTTTGCTATTGCTCTGGCCCAAATTTAGATCTATTTTGATTGTTGAGAGCTTTTGTGACTTAGTTGGGTTTCTATTGTAGCAGTATTAAATCTTGAAAGCAGACAAAATTTTTAATAGGGGTGTGCTTGCCAGCTGTAGCGAAAGGTAAATTGAATAATATTGACTCTGGGTTCAGAGGAATGATAAATTATGATCTTTGCCTGAGTTTATAAACTCTCAGATATAGCTGTGTTTTTATATACAAGTGAGGAAAATTTAGAGTGCATAGAAATGCCCAAAGTTAGAGTTGTTATAACTAGCTGATAAAGAAAAAACTCTTAGCTTTTGAGATTTTTTGATCAGTCTGGCTAGGTTAATTGAAATAAAATCACTTATAAGATTAGAGAACCCTATATCCTTATGGTTACTCTTTTGAAAACCAGAAATTCACATGTAGAATAGTTCTATTCTTTTGAGTTTAGCATGGGAAAAATGCTAAACTTTAAACGGAATAATGCTGTTTCTGAAGTGCTGAAGTTTTTTTCATTATTTGGAGCGTTTTCGCTTTGGTTACTTTTGGTGGTGTCATAGTTTTGGTGTCTGGACCACACCCAGATAAAACCTGTGCAAGGCAAACAGCTTACCTGCTATACAGTCTCTCTAGCCCTGCTCTTGCTATTGTGGCGTTTCCCTGCTCCATGTATTTTTATTTTAAGAAATTATTGAAATATTCAAACATTCTAAAGCTTTCGTAAAATAAAGTATTTCTCTTGTCTAAGGTAACATTTCAAGTGGTCATGTAACCACTGTAGAAAAGATCATATTACATGTAATATTAGAACTTTTATATTATGTGACTAAATAGGTAACAATAAAGTGTTATAGTCTTTGATGATGAAATACTAATGATATGACCTAAAAAACCAATAGGAGGAATTTAGCAAATTAAATTTTACATGGTGTAAAATCAAGGCAAGGCATAGATCATGTTTTAAGATTTTTGTTTGTTTGTGTTTTACTTTTGGGTCACAGCCAGCAGTGCTCAGGGGTTACTCCAGATTCTTCAGTCAGGAATCACTCCTAGTGGCTCAGGGGACCATATGTGATCTATAATTAATAACATAAAAATAATATGACCAAATTACTCATGAAAGGTGAATGCTCCCTCCACTGTACGATTTTTCTGGCCCCAAATTAAGATGGAGCAACTTGTCAGTTAAGTTGATTAATTTTTTGTATTGTATTAATTTTTTATGTAATTTTTTTATGTAAAATATTTTGCTTTTTGTCAAGTAATGTAGTAACTAAGGACATTAATTGAAGCCAATCATTTTCCTTTGTGTGTTTGCAAAAATGTGTAAATTCTGTTTTTAAAAGTTTTTAAAATTGGAATCTGTAGCTCTCTTTGTGTATATTAATATGCTTATAATCTTAATTATCCATGTAGAGGTGAGAAAGGTTTATCAGTTTATTTGCTAAAGAGATCATTTAAAAATTTGTAATTATAGAAGCTAATGATAAGCATCAAAAATAAGAAAGGGAGGCATTTATTAAGGACTATTAAAAATGCATTTTACATACAATGAGTTAGTATTTCTTATAGAAGTGTATGTCAGAGAATACACAGATTTTGGTCAGTGTACTCAGTGGACATTATCTCTGTTCTCCCTGTGCAAGAACATGGGACCAGGGTGTCCTTCAGAGGAATACAGGACAGGTGTTTCGATGATGATAATAGCTGTGATGTTTTAGTCATTGTCTAATCATTCTCCTAACTGGATCAGCATCTGACATGACCTCATCTCTGACTGTTTCAGCGGTTTGCTGCTGTAATCATGAGGATAAGAGAACCCCGAACCACAGCACTTATATTCAGTTCCGGAAAAATGGTTTGCACTGGAGCAAAAAGGTGGGTTTAAGGAGTTCATTCTTGCATGGTGTGAAAGAAAAGATTGTATCTCATCGTTCCAGATATTAGTTTCACTTAATGTCTTGGCTTTTTTGTTGTTGTTATTGTTGTTGGGTGGAAGTTTGGGCCACACGTCACAATGCTCAGGGTTGACCGCTGGCTCTATGCTCAGGGAACACTCCTGGCAGTGCTCAGAGGACTGTATGTGGTGCTGGGGATTGAATTGGGGTTGGCTACATGCAAGGCAAGCTCCTTAACCTGTATTGTTTTTCTTGCCCTCTTTTTGCTTTCATAATTAATTAGTTACATTGTAACCACTTTAGACAAGCATTGACTGGATTTTTTTTTTAAATTAGATGTGAATTTTCTTATTTTGTTACCGACAGATCAGAGAATCACACACACACACACACACACACACACACACACACACACACTCACACACCCCTGACAAGCTCCCCGTGGCGTATTCGATATGTATGCCAAAAACTGTAACGATAACAGGTCTCATTCCCTTGACCCTGAAAGATCCTCCAGTCGTTGGGAAAGATGAGTAAGGAGAGGCTGCTAAAATCTCAGAGCTGGGAGGAATTGAGAAGTTACTGGCGCCTGCTCGAGTAAATTGACGATGACAGTGGTACAGTGATACAGCTGTGAATTTTAAACATTTTCATCCAGTTCCATAGCATTGTGTATTTGAGAAAAGGTAACATCAAAATTACTAATAAGACTGGAAAGCAACTTGGTTCTGTAGAGTAGTGCATGCTACCCTGAGCACTGAGCCCGCAGTAGCCTTTGGATACCCACCAGGTATAGCCCAGACACCAAAAAAAAAAAAAAAAAAAAAAGGAAGGAAGGAGGGAGGGAGGAAGAAAAAGCTTAATAATAAGGATTCCTATTTATTAAAGTTACGTGCATAATACAAGTTCAACCCTGAGCAAAAAACGTCGGGGGTCCTTGGAGATAATACAGCACTTGGGATGTGTACCTAGTGCACACTTAACCTGGGTTCGTCCCTGGTATTCAACATCTCTCAGGCATTGCCACATAGTCCTGAAGTTTCCTAAGCATCACAAGGGATTGGTGTCCAGCACCACAGAGTCTGAGCAGCGACATTGCCTTTGGCAAATTCCTAACTGGGTTATACAAGTAGAGCCAAGGGTGCCCCTGGGGACCCCTAAGGACTACTTGGGGTCCCAACTTCAAAGAGGAAAAAAAGGCTGGTTGGGAATTCAGAATCCTTTGAGATGGTGGTGTTTATGATGGGCTGGCAGCCCGCCTAGGCCCTGTGAGTTGGTCACAGATGCCTGCCCCTCACCCTCCAGTTAGATACGATCTTCATTAGGGTCTTATGAATGCATTACTTTTGCAATATGCCCCAGCCTGAACTCCACTTCTCTATAGAGAAATGTAATGAATTTGTAAAGGCCTGTGCTTCAGGACCTTTAATGGTAAATCTGGTCTTTAACTAGGAGGAAAAGATTCCACCTGCAGGAAAATCATTCACTCAAGTGGATGATGATTTAATTCATGCACTTAAAATACATTGAATAAGAAAATGATGAATGAAACCTGCAAGACAATTTATTTTATTCCAGTAAAGGAAAAAAGGGGAATCTTGGTATTTGATTTTGTTTCATTTGGGTGGGAGGAGGGGGCACACCCTGCAGTGTTCAGGGCTTATTGGCTCTATGCTCACTCATGAAGGAGCTCCTAACCCTTGTTATTTGGCCAACTTGTGTATTTGGCCAAAGGCAACATTTGGCCAAAAGCTTGCTGGGAGGTAGAACAGCAGGGGTGGGGTGGGGGGTGGAGACACTAGCTGCAGAAAACTTGAGTAAATGAACTGAATTCAACTTTTAGAAGAAAAATGGGTTTAAGATGCACTGGACTACATTAGCACATAGATAAGAGGGACTATGGATGCTTTTGTTTTATTGTGAACTCTGAAGTTGCTTTTAATGGTGGGAAGCCATTGATGTGGGGTTTCTGCTCTGTGTTAAACTGCGTTTTTCCAGAAGCCAAGATGTGGTTTATCCCTGGCTTCTACTTCTTGTTCCCAATATGCACTCGTAACTCTCTACTGAGGAATCTTTTTTATTAGTTTCCCATAGATGGAACATCAAACACTTTGGTTTGTCAGTGAATTCCAGAAACTTTTTTCTCTATTTTTTGTTCTATTTTGTTCATTTTATACAACGAAATGGGTTGTAAGGAAGGTTTAGAGGGTTAGAGACGTAGTACAGGACTAAGACCCTTACCTTGCATATGACCAACTCTGATCCTCCTGCACCACTTAAAGTCCCTGGGCATGGCCAGGGGTAACTCCTGAGCATAGAGCTTGCCGAACAGCCTCATAAAAGATAAGGAAATAGAACTAATGTGTAAAGAATAAGGATGCGGCCCAAGTGTCAGCACAGCACTTGCCTGTGTAGGTCCTGGATCCCATCCCTGGCATCCATTTCCCCACACCAGCACTGGGTATGGCCCTCCCCCGCTCTTGACACAACAACAAAAAAATCATTAGTGGTGCATACTTCAAGGGTGGCCTTCGTCAGTATTTTTCTTTCAAAATAAAGTTTGTTTTCACCTCAGTGAGAGCTGCCTAAAATACGGTAATTGTGATGATGATTTATAAAGTCTCTAGAACTATCATAATATGGTGAATGGAAAAGTAGATTTTAGCAGACCTTAAGTTTTCTATCAGACACAGGATACTTTATAATGAAATGAATAATTATAGACCTTTTCTCCTATTGGAAGAGGGTTGAGCAGTTAATATTAAGAACTTTCCTATTTTTGTTGATTATCTAAATAATTATTGTAGCTGACTTTGACTATAAATCTTTCCTTTCTCTAGTGAGGAACAGTCTAGACTAGCGGCAAGAAAATATGCCAGAGTTGTACAGAAGTTGGGTTTTCCAGCTAAGTTCTTGGACTTCAAGATTCAGAACATGGTGGGGAGCTGTGATGTGAAGTTCCCGATCAGGTTAGAAGGCCTTGTCCTAACCCACCAGCAGTTTAGTAGGTGAGTCTGAAATGTGCTGATTGTCTTTTGTATTCATTAATTTACAACCAATTTGTTTATTATAAAATATGTGAAACATCACCTATATGTAAGGATCAATGATATAGGGCCAGACGTTATAGCAGGTAAGGCACTTGCCTTGCATGTGGTCATTCAGGGTTCAATCCCCAGCATCACATATGGTCTCCTGAGCACAGAGCCAGGAGTAAACCTTGAGCACTGCTGGGTATGACCCCCCCAAACAAAAAAGAACCAGTGTTTATCGATGAGTTTATTATTGAAGCTTCTTCCTAACATCTTCGATAATACGTAATGTTTTCTTATTAACCTTCTATCTAACATAGCGATACCCAAAATTCCCATTTAGACTGAGAAACAGTACACCATTGCCTTTCTTGATCTTGTCTCAGGTTCAATCCCTGGCAGTACATGTAGTCCTGAGCTCCTTGAGGAGTGAGCATAGAGCCAGTAAGCCCTGAACACTGCAGGGTGTGCCCCTCTCCTCCCACCCAAATGAAACAAAATAAAATACCAAGATTCCCCTTTTTTCCCTTTACTGGAATAAAATGAATTGTCTTGCAGGTTTCATTCATCATTTTCTTGTTCAATGTATTTTAAGTGCATGAATTAAATTATCAGCTGCTTGAGTGAATGATTTTCCTGCAGGTGGAATCTTTTCCTCTTAGTTAAATACTAGATTTACCATTAAAGTGTGGGCTGGAGCAATAGCACTGTGATAGGGCGATTGCCTTGCAAGCGGCCGACCCAACTGACCCGGGTTCAATTCCTTCGCCCCTCTCGGAGAGCCCGGCAAGCTACTGAGAGTATCTCGCCTGCACGGCAAAGCCTGGCAAGCTACCTGTGATGTAGTCGATATGCCAAACTCAGTAACAAGTCTCAAAATGGAGACGTTACTGGGCCCGCTCGAGTAAATCAGTGAACAATGGGAGGACAGTGACAGTGACAATTCTGCTTGCTCTTCCCATCAAACTTTAGAGCTTTGGACTTTCCTTTCACTCTCATTCTGTGAAACTGAGTTTCAGGTATCTTCTGAAGGCAGGTATCCATTCTGCCTCAGAGGAATGGGTCTTGAATTATCCACTCGAGTAAATGCACATAACCTGTTTTTAATCTGTCAAACTTTAAAAATCACTTAATCACTTAACTTCCCGTTAGTCGTCGATTTGCTCGAGCGGGCGCCAGTAACGTCTCCAATTGTCCCTGTCGCGTGCTAGTGTAGCCCAATGGCATCTGTTCGCTCCGGGAACATGAAGGGCCTCAAACCGATCGTTCATGATCTTGACGAAGAAGTCTGACCATCTGGTAGGTGGGCGGCCACGCGGTCTTTTGACATCCTGTGGAATCCAGTTGGTAACAGCTCTAGTCCAGCGGTTGTCTTTAAATCTCATTACGTGACCAGCCCATCTGATTTTCGACACCTTGGCAAATGAGACAGCGTGCCTGATTCTTGATCGTCGACGGATGTCAGAACTCCGGATTCTTTCTCTCATTTGAGTGAAACGTGATATTCCAAGCATAGCTCTTTCTATTCTTCTTTGGGAGACCAAACTTTAAAAAAAGAAAGAAAAAAAGAAAAAGAATTACTTAGACTGTAATAAGGCAAATAGTAAACATAGCACAATAATAGGTTCTTCATTAAGCTATTTTCTATCATTTGAGAAGTTAGCTGATCAAAATTAACAGAATATTCCAGTTTAGAGATAGGAACATTTAAAAGGCAAACTGTTACTTTAAGAGCTCAGGAATTATTAGGTTCTTAGAAGTTAATATACCTAAACTTGTTAAAAAGGTAACTTAAGGTTCAGAAATTCTGTAACCTGATCACTTGACATCCCTTTACCCATTGATTTGCTCGAGTGGGTGCCAGTAAAGTCTCCATTTGTCCCTGTTGCATGCTAGTGTAGCCCAATGGCGTCTACTCACTCCAGGAACACGAAGAGCCTCAAACCTTTCGTTCATGGTCTTGACAAAGAAGTCTGACCATCTCCTAGATGGGCAGACACGTGATCTTTTGACATCTCTTGAAATCCAGTTGGTAACAGCTCTAGTCCAGCAGTCTCCAAATTGCTTTAGATATCCAGTCCATCTGATTTTCGATGCCTTGGCAAATGAGACAGCGTCCCTGATTCTCTATCGTCGACGGAGGTGGGAACTCCAGATTCCTTCTCTCACTTGAGTGAAGCGTAATACTCCAAGCTTAGTTCTTTTGATTCCTCTTTGGGAGACCCGAATAGCATTCTCATCCTATTTTCGTTGGGCCCAGGTCTCTGAGACGGATGGTAATGCAGGAAGAACAGTGGAATCAAAAAGATGTGTCCAGAGTCGGAGGTTCTTTGTCCTCTTAGCTATTTCTTCGATGCTCTTGAAGGCGTTCTAAGCCACTCTCTTCCTCCTGTGCAACTCAGGTGCCAGGTCGTTCGTCATGTTGAGTTCTCGACCTAGGTACACATAACTGTTGCATTTGGACATGTTCGTTCCATTGAGAGTGAATGGAACGTCAGGAATGAGTCCATTTCTCATAAACATTGTCTTCGTGAGATTCAGCTATAGTCCAACCTTTCCACACTCAGGGTTCAAGTCAGCCAGCATTTGTGCCGCTTGGCTAATGTTTGGTGTTATTAGAACAATGTCATCAGCGAAGCGGACTTGGTGTAGTTGCCGACCGTCTTCCTTCCCATTCTAGTCGTCCCATGATGTTCTCGAGGGTGGCACAGAAGAGTTTTCGTGAAATGGTATCACCCTGCCAAACCCCTTTCTTGACATGGATGATCACTTCCCTGTAGAATGGTGAGATCCTGGCAGTGAATCAGCTCAAGGAGGAGCCTGATGTATTGAGTTTGAACGCCCTGTTTGGCTAGGGCTTCAATGACCGCTTTAATCTCAACAGAATTAAAGGCCTTCTTTAAATCAGTGAACGTTAGACAGAGCAACATCTTGAACTCCCGAGAAACCTCAATGAGCTTGGTTACCGTGTGGATATGGCCGATGGTGCTGAATCCTTTGCGGAACCTGGCTTGCTCACATGGTTGCCCTTCATCTAGTGTTCTCCCAATCCTATTCAGGATGACGCGAGTAAACAGCTAATCTGTAACATGATTCTATATAAAATTCGTGTTCTATGTCAGAAAATTTAGGTTCAACAGAAATAGAGCTGATTAGGTTTTTGAGTCCCGTTACCATTGAGTATCATCACTGGTTTTAAGTTCTCTTCTACTTGAAGAAGAACTGGGTTTAACTTACTGATTAGTTTTCCTGCCTGTTCAGTGATTCTCCTTATCTGTATCCTCTTTTTATCCAGAATCATGGGCAGCCTTTCATTTCTGATTTTTTGCCATTTTCTTTCTAGTTATGAACCAGAGCTATTTCCAGGTTTAATCTACAGAATGATCAAACCCAGAATTGTTCTCCTTATTTTTGTTTCTGGAAAAGTTGTATTAACAGGTAAGTTGTAAAACTAACAAAATAGGTAAGTTGTAACAGAAAGCAGCCTTTTTTAAAATTGAATCATCCAAAGATATACAGTTACGAAGTTGTTCATGATTGGGTTTCTGTCATACTATGTCCTCCACCAGTACACATTTCCCACTACCAATGTCCCCAGTTTCCCTCTCCTCACCACCTCCCCCCCTTTATGGCACTCTTCTTTTTTCTCTCTCCTCCCTCCTTCCTCCCTCCCTCCTCCCTCCTCTCTCTCTCCTCTCTCTCTCCCTCCCTCTCTTTGTCTCTCTCCCCTGCTCCCTTCCTCCCTCCCTCCCTTCCTCTCTCTCTCTCTCTCTCTCTCTCTCTCTCTCTCATTTTAAGCATTGTGGTTTGCAACTGTCACTGTCACTGTCCTCTAGTTGTTCATCGATTTGCTTGAGTGGGCCCAGTAACGTTTCCATCGTGAGACTTTGTTGCTACTGTGTTTGGCATATAGAATACATCATGGGTAGCTTGCCAGGCTTTGCCGGGCAGACAAGATACTCTCTGTAGCTTGCCAGGCTCTCTGAGAGGGGCGGAGGAATCGAACTCGGGTCGGCCATGTTGGCTGCATGCAAAGCAAACGCCCTACATGCTGTGCTATTGCTCCAGCCCTTTGCAACACAGGTATTAAAATGTTATCATGTATATAACCCTTTACCTCCTTTGAGCAGTCAGTTCTTGTCAAGAGTGATCATTTCCATCTGTAATTGTCATAGTGGTCCCTTCTAACTGCCACGCCCCAACCTCCCACTTGTGGCAAGTTTTCAACCATGAACCAGTCCTCCTGGCCCTCATTTATACTATCCTTAGGTATTAGCCTATTTTTTATATCTTGCAAATGAGCACAATCATTCTGTCTGTCCTCTCCTCTCCCTCAGAGAGAGTAGTGTTAAAAGGCTTTAAAGTATCAAGGAATGGCTTTTCCTGGTTCTGAAAAGTAATTTCCAAGAGGTGCCTCGCTCCCTCCCCATTCTCCCCCCCCCCAACACACACACACACACACACACACACACACACACACACACACACACACTTTGTAGGGACTAACCATTAAATGAATGAGCCTAGAGCAGTTGTTTTGTAAAAGACATTTTAAAGATTGAAATGCATGCTTTAGCAATGCAGAAGACCTGGGTTTGAGCCCAGGTGTACCTGATCACTGCTGGGTGTGACCCAGAAAGTTTAAATAAAGGTTGCTATAAAAAGGTAACTAGGGGGCCAGAGTGATAGTAGAGCTGGTAGGGTGCTTGCCTTGCACTTGGCCGACCTGGATCCAGTCTCTTAATACTTAATATGGACACTTAATATGGTCCGCCAAGCAGGTGTGGCCCAAAAACCAGGCAGAGAACTAGAGTTGTGATAATGTAGTTCAAATCATCAATACCTTTGTTTTAGCTAAACTGGGTATGGAAAGAATTATGCTTGTTTTTGAGTAACAGTTTCAACTTCTCTGTTACATGCTATTCATTTCTATTTCAACTTTTCTTCACAGGTGCTAAAGTTAGAGCAGAAATTTATGAAGCATTTGAAAACATCTACCCTATTCTAAAGGGATTCAGGAAGACAACGTAATGGCTGTTACACACCTGCAGTTCCCACCCACCTGTTTTAATCAGTTGTGGTACATTTAAATGATGTTGTGGGTGCCCAGCTCGGTTGTGGGGTGCAGCACCAGGTGGGCTGTCCTCACTTGTCCCCGAGGGATGCTGGGAAAGGGTGAGGACACCACAGTGTCACTGAGTTGTTCAGACTGTGCTGCTATTGGGGCAGCACTGCCCGTTTATTTATATTAGGTTTTAAACACTGCTGTTGACAAGTTGGTTTAAGGAACAGACCTTGAAGTGTTCAAGACACCTCTACAATTGATTGTACTTATTTTGTTTAATTTCTTCCTCATATACCAGTTTTTATATTTCTACCGGAAAAGTAAAAATCTTTTTTAAAAGTGTTGTTTTCTGATTTGTAACTCCTAGGGGTTATTTTTGTGCCAGACACATTCCGCCTTTTCAGTATTGCAGGAAAGAATAGATGTATTAATGAAAATGAATGTACATACTTTTTCTTTCTTCACAGCACTCTGTATAATAAAGGCTGTTTATAAAAAATGTTAGATTGATGTTATAAATGAAACCTTGTAAGGTTCATTTTAAGCTTTTTATTTTTTGAGCCATACCTGGTGGTACTCACAACCATGCCATTGCCAGGGATCAGACCCAGGCCTGCATGTGAAGCATGGACTCAGCCCTTTAGAGGTATCTGTTCATCAAAATTGCATTTTGGATATAAGGCCTGAAACAGTTTCAGTGGTTGTTTTGCTGTTTTATTGTATGTTGCAATGAAATTGAACTGCTAGAAAATTTAAGTTTGCGCCTGAAATATTTGCTGCATTCCATGTGTTGAGCACCTCCTTTCCCATAAATACTGTGTCTGTAACAGAGACAGATTTTTCTCACAAAAATGTGGCAAATATTTGTACATGATTAGGCTTTGGTGTTTGGGTATGTTTTTTATTTTAACCTTGCTTTCAAACAATTCAGAGGAATTTTATCCGACAGGAAAGGTTCTTTCTTCCTTCCCTGTTTCCTCAGGTTAAGTTAGATTCAAGGATGTAACCAGAACTTTTAAAGTACAAATTCTCTTGTTCCTGTGGACAAAATGCTGAAGCACATGGTCAGTTTTATAGCTTCTTTTCCCCAGTTGGTATATCATAAACATTTCCATGATATGAAACCCAATGTCACCTATTTATCTTATATACCTTTATACATTTACATCTTCATATATTTGTGGATCTAAATGCAGGTATTTCTGTAGTAAGTATGACTTGCATGGCCGCCCACCTATGAGACTGTCAGACTTCTTTGTCAAGGCCCTGAATGATTGGTTTGAGGCTCTTCGTGTAGCAGTAGGGCGTTTGCCTTGCACACAGCCAACATGGCCGACCTGAGTTTGATTCTTCTGCCCCTCTCGGAGAGCCCGGCAAGCTACTGAGAGTATCTCGCCCGCACGGCAGAACCTGGCAAACTACCCGTGATGTATTCGATATGCCAAACACAGTAACAGCAAAATCTCCAATGGAGACGTTACTGGGCCTGCTCGAGCAAATCGATGAACAACGGGACGACAGTGACAGTGACAGTGTTCCTAGAACAGACAGATGCCATTGGACTACACTAGCACATGACAGGGGCAAATGGAGATGTTACTGGTGCCCGCTCGAGCAAATCGATGATTAACTGGAAGTCAAGTGATCAAGTGAAGTATGCCTAGAAGAGGAATTACTTTATTAGAAATTATAATTCTAAATATTGGTAGGTCGATGCCAGATCGGTTTGAAAGACATCTCCGAGGTGCCCTTTTCTTGTATTTTCTATCATAACAGATTTACGGGAAAGATTCCAGTATTACATACTCTTTTTCCCAGAAAGCACAATCTTTCAAATGTCAGCCTCCTGTCAGCCTCAAGTTTCTGCTTTGGAGGCCTGGTAGAGAGTGCAGCCGTTAAGGCACACAGCCAACTCTGGTTCAACCCCCAGCACTGCATGTGGTCTCCTATAGCTGTATACAGAGATCAAGATCATTCCACTGAGTCTCTCCTACCTTAACAGATTATCACTTTGTATTTTTCAGATTCATTTGTGTATGCACACTGACCGTACAAAATACTATGCTATAAACACCATGGGTAATGGTAAGTTCATCAGCTTAGATATTTGTCTTTCTTGGTGTGCTTACCAGTTACTAATAGGGGTGGGGATAGTCCAGTCTGATGGGCTGTTTGAGGCCCACAAAATCTTATGGACAGGACTCCCATCAGCTGCCCATGTTCCATCTGTACTTCATGGTTCCAGAATAATGTTATAAAGATACCAATATGGCCCCCAACAGATAAAAGGTTTCCTCCCCTGGTTTATAACATTAACATAGAGTACACATCCTCTGCGGTCTAAATGAGCCAAATATATTTATTTCCAGCATGGTTTTGTCCAACTGAGGCATTATGACACTTAAAACATCATTGTACCTGTAATTCTGATATTATCACTTAGACAAAATCATAGAAATCAAATTGCATGGTCTGAGAATGATGAGCATTAGATATCTCTAGGGTGTATCTGTGATGTCCTGCTTCCAGACAAACTCTTCCATGTAGCCAGTTCCCAGCCTGCAGCTCTCAGCACAGGTGAAGACCGCCAGAACTCCCCAGTCAACACTTCTACCCAGCCTGTCAGCCTTTAGGTAGTTGAGTAGCTGAGGCATGACCTGCGAGAAGAAAGGGTGAGAGGGGTCTTTTCTGTTAGATCTGTAGATGCAGAATTTGTCTCTATAGAGGGCTGTTACTTTGATTTTTTTGTGTTTACAAACAAAAAACCATGTGATCATAGACTAAAATAGGTCTTAGGGTCATACCTGAAATTCAAATATTCTTTTTGCACCACAGGGGCAATCAGGGATATCCTTTTCTTGAGGGATATTTTCACCAGAAATCCAGATGGGGGCGATCCCTCTGCCATATCTAAGAATCTAAAATCAATTCAGAGGACCAGAGAGTACAGTGGTTAAGGCCCATTTCAATCCCTAGTGCTGCATATGGTTCCCCAACCATGTCAGGTGTGGCCCAACACTTCCCACCCAAAAAAGAAAAATAAAAGTAAGTCATCAACGTTTCACCCCGGTGGTAAACATCCAGTGGTGGTATGTCACCTGATGGTCATTCAGAGACATCATGTGCATGTGCTGAAACAGTGATCTGAAAGGGTGTTTATGACCCCCTTCATACCAAGTGCCATCTTAAATTAGTTTTCTAAATATGATGTGAAAGGTCTAACAATGATCCTGTCTCCTCATGAGTAGGTTCTGAATCTAAAAATGCAGCCCAGACTGTTTACCTTCATACATATGTAGAGAACCTCAGTTGAGAAAAATGTTAGGGACCTGAGAAAATGCTCGGTGGGCTAGAGCATATGCAAAACATGCAGGCACTGTGGTTCAGTCCTGAGCACTGCATTTGATTTTCCCAGTGACTGCAGGAGTGATCCCTGAGCACTGAGATTATTTTTTTTAATTACCAAACACAAGTGTTCTAATACACTTTACTATCAGACTGTTATCATGGAGGAGCTTTCTTAGATTTGTTGAAATTATATGTACTTCTAACAGCCATATTTTAGGCTGTTAGAGACCTAGATATAGGGACCTAGATTTCTTCTTGCTAAATAGGATCTGGATCTCTACTTGATTCAGTGACAGTTCCTCTGAGTAAGAACTTGTGGTAAGGAAAGACAAGGGAAACAATGAAAGAACAGATATTTGTGGGACACCTCAGTGTCTACAGTCTCCCTTGATATCTTCATAGTCACCCTTTATTCTTTTCACACTGAAGATGTGACTACATCAGAAGGGTGGAACTCCTAGGTTTAAACCTGGGTCTTTGAACAAAGTTCACAGCCAGTATCTCTGTGTTAATATGCTATGTCAATTTTACAAATCAAAGGCCTCTGTTGGAAAAACAGGCAAAAATCTTTTTTGCCATTGGTACTTTGTTTTTAATTCCGTTATCATAAAAAACATTTAATTCAGGGCCTGGGAGCGATGCTATAGCAGGTAGGGTGTTTGCCTTGCATGTAACTGACCTGGGTTTTATCCCTGAGCACTGCATAATTCCCAAGCATTTGGGTATGGCTCTCAAACCCAAAAAAGCACCAAAAATCCACATGTCTTGATCTTTTATTAAATTAATGCTCTGATCAACAGCATGCTTTTTAGGGTTTGAAATAGTAAAAGGGCTATTTACTCACTCCTATTTACTAAAAATACCTTTCCAAATGGACTGAGTAAAAGAACTCATGATAGAAAACTAGCTTTATTATGAAAAGTTTCTTCCCAGAAATTATGCCCCTAAAACATCACCTGAAAAGTAACACAAGAATATATAAGTTCTTTTTCACCTGTTCCGGTTCAAGGGCTATTTTAGTTTTAAACTTCTGGAAAATCTTATCCTCCCTGGATTCATGTTTTGCCATGGATTCTAATTCTTCTTCAGTCGCCTCACCTAAAAAATCAACATAGTAAGTATGGCAAGAGCAGTAATCTCCATGACTTGAAAATTCACAAGGGAAGTAGAAACTTAGCCTTTAAAACCTTTTAAATTTTTCAGTCAGCTTTATCAATGGCTGAATAGCAGTACTCCTATATTAAAAAAATATATATATAACCTTTTGAATTTCTGGGTAATTTATTGAAGCATTGTTATACTATCCAGCCTCCCAATATATGCCTCTCTTCAAAGTTAAACATTAATGGAATCAAACCCAACATTTGTGCTCTGGATTGTTTTAGTCAGTACATGCTAGGATACCCAGCCAACACATGCCCCTTTTTTGATGGCTGACTTTAGGCCAACTGTTCTCTAATTCAAATCTCTTTGTGTCTCACCCATTTCTTTCCTCATCTGATACACTTATTGAGTCCTATATGCACTATGGACCTCAACAGTTTCCTTCTCCACACTCGTCTCCTAGATAGAACTACCCTGAAGCTCTGCAGTCCAACAGGATTTTGGTCTTTATAAAATGTATCAAAGTACAATTTTGATATCCTGAGTATGAACTATAAACCAGTACACTGACATTCCAAGCTCACATCTGGCCTAAATTCAATATATGTAAATTTGTGGTAAAAGCTTATGTTCTAGGGCAGGACTGATAATACAGTAGGTAGGGTATTTGCATTGCAAGTGGCTGACCCAAGTTCATTCTCTGGCATCCCATATGCCCATCCCTAAGCCCACCAAGAGTAATCTTAATGCACAACCAGGAATAAGGCCCAATGATCACATGCCCCCCCACCCCTGAAAAAAAAAAAGAGCTAAAATTGTATAGTCAGTGAGATATGAATTCAAACTTTAGTTCTAAAATGTAAAACTTTGGCCTGGGGCCAGCCAGATTGTACAGGACACTAAGAACCTGGTTCAGATCTCTTACCCTACATATGGTCCCTGAGCACTGCCAGAAGTCACTTGGTACAGAACCAAGAGAACAGCCTTGAGCACCACTGGGCGCCCCCCCACCCCAAGAAAAAAACTTGGGTCTGTTTGACTAAACAACTGTCTAATCGTAAAATCCCTCCTACCCTGGAAGTGGGAAAGCTTCAGCTGTTTGTGCTGTCAGCATTTTACATGATTATGAACAGCAGCCCTGGGTCTCTTAGCTATTTAGTTATTAGAGGTACTCACCTCTGATCATGCCTAGATAAACGACCAATTCTAAAAGATCTCTGCTTCCTACAAAATACTTCAAACAGCACTCACGTACCGAGAAAGATCTTGGCACAGGGTGGGGAGATGATAGTAAGCGGGTAAGGAGCTTGCCTCATATGCAGCCAACCTGAGTTTGATTCTTGGTCCCAGCACTGCGTGTTTTCACCCGCCACACCAACAAGAGTGACCCCTGAGCACAGAGCAAGGAGTAAGCCCTGAGTACCGCCAGGTATGGCCCCACTCTACCCTCCCAAAGGAAAAATGTTCACTTGCTCTTCAAGCAGATTTCTCCCTTGAATGTATCTGGGTTGCTTATCTGCATGCTTCACTGCATGTTTCCACTCTGGAGAAGCCTATGTTCTCTCTTGAACATACACTTCTTCCTGTCTCTCCCCTCATATCTTTCTAAATGAGTGTCAACACTTTCACCCCCTGAAAAAAAAAATTGTTGGCACAGATGAACTTACCAAGCACCCTGCACAGCCTACCCTAGGGATCATTTCATAGTTCCTTTGACATTTCTAGGTCAGGACATACCTGAGAGAGGTGGGGAAGGGCAGCAAGAGGATGAATATTGTTACCTGAGGCAACATTTGAGAATGATAGGTTGTAGCTCTCAAGAGAATCTTCCAATCAGAAACCCCTCTTCTTGTCCTTTTAGGCATTATTCAGTTCACAAAGTTCTGAAACCAAATTCTTACCCATACTCCCTATAATCTCCAAGTCCTCTTTTTCCACAATATCAGGAGTAATCTCATCTTCTGTTTCTATTAAAATTTCAAATTCTGGGAAAAGGAAGTTGTGGTCTGGAACTGTATCGCTGAAATTATCTGAAACACAAAAGATAACTAGTATCACTGCTAATCATTTACTTTTAGAGATGGTCTGATGACTTCCTATTTTTAAGAAAGCATTTTTCACACAGTAAGTTTTCTCAGGTAGTTCAATATATGTCCTTCCAGCATTTTGAGCTATCCTCCATAAATGAAAGTGTCATATTAAGCAACTCTGGGGCATAACTGAGTGCCAGGGTTCACCACTCCTTTTTCGGAGGGGTTACACCAGAGATGCTCAGTGGCTAATCCTGGCTGTGCCTGGGGAACCTTCTACGATGCTAGAATCAAACAGGGATCCTGTATGCAAGGCCAACAGCTTACCTTACCTTCAGCACCAGGCCTCTCACCTCTCCTTTCCAAATTTCACTTTTATCCAAAAAAAAAAAGTGAAGACTTAAGTGGACAGAAGTCCTACAACTGAGCTTACATTTATAAAGAAAGAAGAGCGCCCCAACGAGACAGCCAAGCGCACGCACTGGCTTTCCCAGCGCCAGAGACCCAGCACCCCTGGAAACAACTCACCTGGTTGTGCACAAAGCTGCTTATGTCCCAACTTCCAGTCTAGAGTCTGATGTTCTTTACTGCAGTAATGGGCCCTGTGACACCTGGAGCACGTTTTGGGGCCTAAACACCCACAGACCCTGCAGAGGTGCGCCCCTGACTTGAGCTGGAGGCGCACGGAGTCTCCAGTCTCCGGTGGTGGATCCTCGGCAGGTGGGTCGAAGGAGAAAAAGTCGTTTTTTCTGGGTAGCTGGTTCCTGAAAACTGAGAGAAGTTGGAAGCACGTAAAAACCTTAAGCGGAGCGACGCGCTGATTCAAACGCTGGCCTCAACGGGCAGCAGAGCAAGGCCTGCCCGAGTCCGCCTTTGCCTTCGGGGACGGCACCCCCGGGGGCAGAGCGAAAGGAGAGGCCGGCGCGCCCCGACGCACCTCGCAGGCCGGCGCAGCAGGGCGGCGCGCGGCAGCAGAAGAGGAAGAGCCCGCGGTGGAAGGCGTCGGCGCGGCCCGGCAGCGGCGCGTAGAGCTGCAGCAGGAAGGCGAGCGCGCGGCCGCACAGCGGGCACGACAGCGCCGCGGGCCCCGGCAGCCCGGCCTCGCCCAGCCACGCCGGCCGCCCCCCCACCTTGCTGGGAAACTGCTCGCTGCGCAGCCGCCACGCCGGGGCCGGCTCCGCGAAGCCCAGCTCGGCCGGCGCGGCGGGACGCGCGGCCATGGCGGCTCGGGGCCGGGCGGAAGTCGGCGCCGGAAGGGGCGGGACGGCGGCCGCGAGCGGTTGGAGGGCTTGGGAGAAGGGGCGGGACGAGGAGGGGTTTCCGGGTGCCCCGCCCGCCCCCGCGTCTGTCCGGGGAGGGCCCCGCGCTTCCCGGGGGCGCGCGGGCGCTGGTGTTCGCGGCTCTCCGCGCCCGGGGGCGCCGCCACCTGCTGCGTGCGGGAGTGGCCCGTCGCGCTGGCCCGAGGTCGGGACCGGGTCCCCTGCCGGCCGGCCGCCCGCCTTTGCGGACCTTCTCCCACGGGGCCCGCGGCGGTGCGCTGCTCGCGCGGCTGGAGAAGGACCGTGGCGCCTTCCGCTGCGCTGGAGATGGGAGTAGGGCCCGGGAGCTCCCGCGGGCCAGCGCCCCTTCGGGGCAGGAGAGACTGGGCGGGGCTCAGCACCAGGGAAAGGTGGTGAGGGGCGCCAGTTCCAGGAAAGGGAGCCGCGCACGTCCGGGCGAGGCTCAGTCCCCAGACTTGCCCCCTGGATGTGGGCGAGTGTGGGGGAAGGCCGTTGCCGTGGGAGGCTTCCGAATCGGGGCTTCTCCCGGGAAGGGCAGCGTGCGGGCCATTCGAGGGGCCCTCTGACGGAGACAGACCCCACGGGCGCACCGGCGGCTGCAGGGAAGGGACAGGTGGGTGGGTAGGCCGAGCGATGAGTGGATGACTGGAAGTGTAGTTTGATGAGAGAGGCAGTGGAGTCGTCAGTTGAGAGAAAAAGACCTCAGGGAGTTGTGGCAGGAGGGTGGTTCCCTTAAGAACTGACTACAGGAGTTCTCTCTTCCTTCCCCCAGGGTTTGGTTTCTCTGGGTAAGCCCTTGGTCCTGGTCCAGAAACCAAGGGTGTAGATGGTGCTTACTGAGAGCCCACTTAGGTGCCTCCTCCCACTGTGGGATCACCCTGGGTGACTTACCAGGGTAGGTCTTGGTATGGGGAGTAGGGCTGCCTTCAGAACGGTCTCCTTAGCTTGAGCCCAGAGCAGAGGAAATGGTTTATAAAGGAGAGCACAGGTGCTTCCAGAGGGGAGTGCCATGTAGGATAACACTCTTTTGTCCTTCCTCAGGTAGCTTAGGTTTGTCAGGTCACACCCATCTAAGAACACTGAACTTGTACTGTAAGCAATGTCCTTTCTGTGTGGACACAGGAAGACAGTTAATATTATGCTTTGTAACTTGGGAGTTGATTGACTCCGAATAATATTTACTCCTGGGCATCTGATTTCTTGACTCAGTTGCCCTTAGTTCCTAGCACCCCAAAAGCAGGGTCCCGACAAGGGACTGAATGGACCCAGGGCAAGCAATGAGCTATCCTGGCATCGAAATGGGACAGGCCAAAGAGCCACGATACTCAACTATAAGTTGAGGGCATGATCATGGACAAATGCTGTCATGATCCAAAAGTAAGTAACGATGAGACTAGGACCCTGCTGGAGCTAGGAAGATTAACCTGGCCTGAGGACTGCGAAATGTATAGTGAGATGTTCTCAGGAAGAACCAAACTAAATTTATATCTCTTACTGTGCTCATACAGAATGACATTGCTAGAAATATTAGAAGTAGATTTATTACAACTATTTAAGTAGATTACTAACTGAAGGAAGAACACACCCTTGTTGGGATCCCACCCTTGGGTGGATCTCCTAGTAATCTGAAGTAATCTCTGTAGATGAGATTTTATCCTTGAGTTAATCTCCTGGAGGAGTGGTCTTACCTCTCTTTGTTGATTTGTCAGTATTCAACCCACCTTTATGTCACCGTCTTATGTGACTGCTATGTAAACTAAGACGTAAGCTCGGAAAGGGAGTCAGAAGCGAGAGAGCTCGGGCTCCAGAGATCCAGAGTCAGAGCCAGAAGGAGAGAGCTTCCAAGACTGGGGCCCAGGAGAGAAGGAGGCAGAGAAAGACAGGAGTGAAGAGGATTGGAATAAACTACTATTGATATAGACTGGCCTGGCCCCCGTTTTTTCTTCAGTCTGCCCTTGGCCAACAGCCGTTCCGATCCAGGCCACACACAGTGGCTCAAGAGCACCGAACGCAGGCGGTGAAACAGTGCCGTCCAGTGAGCCCGTGAACATACAACCTTCGGCGTGATAAGATTTTACAGTGCCATAAAATAAAGTGAAATAAGACGTGCCCAGAGCTGGAATGTGGAGACTCCAGAATGTAGACTGCAGAGCTGCTTTGAGAACTGAGTTTAGATTCTCTCTTCCCAAGCTGTCTTAGCTTTAGCTGGGGTTTGCTAGAGAGTTGCCAAGGCTTTTGTCCTTGGGGATTTGTGTTCTTTCAGAACAGGGTATCATTTTTTGCCATCTCAGACAAGATATAATTTTCATCCTGAGTTGGCAGCAGACTATCTTTCCTTATATTAGGATTTTCCCCCCCTTGAGTATTACGTTTTATTCACCAGATAAGCTACAAGTCCATGTCTAGGTATTTCTTCATCCTTAGACTAAGACCCATCCTTATCCTGTAGTACCTGGAAGGAGCAAATATCCTGAGTTTTCTTGTCAGATGCAAGTACATGAAGACAATCACAAAACTTGTTCTTCCCAAGGTATTGGTAAGATATTGAAAATGCTTTTAAAAGAACTGTTGTTCAGAAACAATTGGAATTCTGTTCTTGAAGTCTCACTGTGAACAATATTCCTAAGATTTCTAGTTTTCCCATTGACTTTATCCTTCCTCTGCAGAAACTGCTCAAAATTTCCAGAGTCAAATAAGCTCCAGATTTAACTGAAACCCAAGCACAAAAATTTTTGTTGTTGTTTTTTTTTGTTTTTTTATTAAAAAAAATTTTAATAGTGAGACATCATGAGGTACAGTTGCAGACTTACACATTTTTGTGCTTGGATTTCAATTATACAATGATCAAATACCCATCCCTTCACCGGTGCCCATTTCCCACCACCACGGATCCCAGTATCCCTCCCACCCCCCATCCCCCCCATCCCACCCTGCCTCTGTGGCAGGGCATTCCCCTCTGTTCTCTCTCTCCTTTTGGGTGTTATGGTTTGCAAAAGAAACATTGATTGGCAATCATGTTTGGTCTATAGTCTACTTTCAGCATGCTTCTCCCATCCTGGGAAGATCCTCCCAACACCTTTATTTGGTGTTCCCCTCTTTATCTGAGCTCCCTTTTCCCCTAGTATGTGTGGTTGGCCTCCAAGTCATGGAGTAAAATTCCTGGTACTAATCTCCACCATTCTTGGGTGTTAGTTTCCTATTTTGTTATTTTATGTTCTCCAGATGAATGCAATCTTTCTATGCCTATCCCTTTCTTTCTGAGTCATTTCGCTTAACATGATACTTTCCATGTAGTACCACTTGTATGTAAATTTCATGACTTTGTCTTTTCTAACAGCTACATAGTACTCCATTGTGTAAATGTACCAAAGTTTCTTTAACCAGTCATCTGTTCTCGGGCACTCAGGTTTTTTCCAGATTCTGGCTATTGTAAAGAGTGCTGCAATGAACAAACAAGTGCAGATGTCACTTCGACTATACTTTTTTGCCTCTCTGGGATATATTCCCAGGAGTGGTATTGCTGGGTCAAATGGGAGCTCAATTTCTAATTTTTTGAGAATCGTCCATACTGTTTTCCAAAAGCACAAAAAGTTTTAAGTCTACAACTGTACCTCATGGTGTCTCACTAATAAAAATTAAAAAAAAAAAAAAGAATTGTGGAACTTTGGCCAGGCCTATCTTGATGCTAGGGTAGCACATAGCTTACCGCTTGCCCTAGTTCAATTGAGTCCCTCGTTGGGACCCTGATTTTGGGGACGCTAGGAAGTAAGGACAGCTGAGGCTTAGGTCGAGAGAACAGATTCCCAGGAGGAAAATAGCACTGAGAGTCACATTACAAAAGCATAGCATATACTATCTTCTTCTGTCCATACAGAAAGGACATTGCTCTGAATAAACTATGCAAAGAATTTAAGGAGAAGAAAAAGACAATGTTTACAAGTCAACAGAGCACAAAGAAAGAAGTTACAAATAAACACAGAGGAATGGGAGCACTGTGATGGGAGCAACCCAATAAACCTAAACTACCTGAGGCTATGCAAGAAGGACAAAACAGTGTTATTCTACAATTGTTCTCAGTTTTCCACCCACCTTTGAAGCCTGCTCTCTTGGCAGATACAAAATAACCTATTTTATATTGCTTGTTATAACAAAATAGAAAATGGCATTATAAAAAAGAGTTCAGTAAAAATTTTTGAAAATTGTTATCTCTCACAGTGGTGTCATTAAAAAGTCAACTGAGGACTTACTGAGTTTTTTGTTGCTAATTTAGCCTTCTATCTTATTGTTTTCACTTATTGAGCTTAATGGTCTTCTTTTTTAAATTTATTTTTTATTTTTTATTTTTGGGTCACACCCAGTGATTCACAGGAATTACTCCTGGCTCTGCACTCAGGAATTACTCCTGGCGGTGCTCAGGGGACCATATAGGATGCTGCAAATCAAACCCGGGTTGGCCATGTGCAAGGCAAACACCCTACCTGCTGTGCTCTCTTTCCAGTGCCGCTTAGTGGTCTTCTATGCAACTTTCTCATCTAATTTGTTGTGCTCCTACTGGACTGTCAATATTGTTGAATTTAGAGGTTTTGTGACCCAGAGCACACAGATGTGGCCATATGCTCCAGGATAGTAGAATTGAGATGATTTTCAGCTTGCACCCCTCCTGAGAGGGCCCCAGACTTTTCAGTCCAAAGACTGGTGTACTTGTGAGTACCATTGGCTTGGTTTGGCACCCCTTCCAAAATTAGTTCTGTATCTGTGAACTTGGTCATTTACATGGCAGAGGTTGTGGGATGTGGGTGTGATTTCTAGGGCTTGTGAGGGTGGGGGCAGGGAGAGGCTGCCCTCTCCTACACTGAAAAGACCTCCGAGCTTTCAGCCTGAAGACCTGTGTTCTTGGAAGTTTGTTGGCGTGGAGCCTCTTCAGAGATGAGTCCTGAAACAGTGAAGTTTGGCCATTTAC